AGGTGGCGCCTGGAGCTCCTCGTCACGCGTCCACGCACGCACCGGCTCCCCCGGTGCTCGGCGACAGACGGCGACGGCAAGGACAGGTGGCGACCGGGCGGTCAGTCACGACCGGCGCGTGCGCGGGAACCAAAAGCGGTGGCGGGTTCAAATGGCGGCGGCGAAAATCGAATCACGGCGACGGTGCATAGCGCGGCGAGAGGAGAGAGAGAAAGGAAGCAGAGAGAGAGAGAGAGAGAGAGAGCGAGGAAGGAGAGAGGAAGAAGAGAGGCGCTGCCTCTCTCTCTCGGCGCGTGCAGTGCACGTGCGGGGAGGAGGAGGAGCGCCCGAGAGGAGAGAATGGGCCGAGCAAGGGAGAAACGGCCCACAACCAAGAGGGACGTAATTTAGACTTTTTCCGAGGGAACTGATTTGGAGGGTGTTTTTGAATTGGAGAGAATTTGAGAAGGATTTTGGAATTTAACCATGATACTTTGACTCTAGGAACATAAGGTGAAGTCAAGGGAAGGATTCGAGGCGGAATTTGAATAATTCTGGATTCGTAGAAGTATTTGGCGAGGATTCAAAGGAAGGATTTGAATTTCAGAATTGATCTAGGAAGTTGAATCGGAATTAACATTTTAGAGGTAGAGGATTTTGATGGCGACGAGAGGGAACAATGATGGATTTAAACTGAGATCCACGGCATGACTTAGACTCGCACACAAAAAACGAAATTTTCGCAATTAGGATTTTGCCGAATTAGTTTTTAACGTCCCACTAAAAGCGCGGCGTTACAGGTGACCTCGCTCACTGTCTACTACCGCGACCCCACCACGCTCGCCAACCTCACACCGCACTGGTAGGCCTCCCTCCACCGCGTCAAGCTTGTGCGCTGGCACCAGCGCCCGCCCAACCTCCCCCACGGCGCGGATCTCGACCTGATAGGTAGAGAAACGGCGACCGGAGGTGGAGAAGAAGGTGAGGGAGGGGCTGACGGGTGGGGTCCACGCTATTTTCCACGCGGGCACGCCACATAGGCAAAAGTGAGAAATAGTTAAGAACTCACCTCTCTCCGGTGACAAATTATTAAGCGCAAATCTAAAAGGGTATTTGGATAAGTGACAAAGCTAAAAGTAGTAAATAATTAAATTCCCCTCTCGCCTCTGTAGTCAGTTGTTTCTTGCTTCTGCATCATCAGTAGTAGTAACACAGAGTATCCCAGCTGTTCGGCGGCATAGTTCCAGTCTCCACCGATCCAATTAATTATCATGGGCCTGTCGAATATATAAACCAACGAATACCGGCACCGGCACGCGCATTGCCTGCTCTGAATTTGATTTCTGAATGTGAACGAAGATTTCATCATATCATAAACAAGACGAGACGAACAACACAACGCCTAAACGATGACAAAGGTGTCGTTCACACTATGCATGATCAAACATTATTGCAGGAATGAATCGAAGAACCGAAGCACATACACTAGCCAGCTAAGGTCGGTCGGGATTGGGGTCGCAATCAGTGCAGTATACTCCCACAAATCAAATTATTCAGACTGCAACGCACGCCAGCGACTCGCAATGCAGTGCATGCAACTCGCTTGCGGCGAATGTGAAAGCCGCGGAAGCGCACAAGCTTAGACCGAGACACAGCTTGTTTCTGAATCTCTGAACTGAAAGTACTCGGTACAATCTGTTAGCAACTTTATATGATAAGTTGATAAGCACGATCGCAGCACTTAAACGCCTTGCGGTGATATGGAGTCACCAACCACCTCGATCTAGCCAAACGGCCAAATTAAGATGGGTTTTATGGAAAACAGCTAAACCGGCTAACGGAGCCGATTTAGAGATCAAAATCAGCATCTAGGCCGATTTAGATTGATATGAGGATAACTACCCGTCTCGTGGGCAAATCGGAAGATTTTCAGGACAAACCTACAAAGAGGTGTCGCACTCTCGCAGCGGCGGCGGACGATTTACGGCACAAATTGACAAAGATGGACTAAAACTAGGGTAAAGTGGAAAACATAACTGAAAAGTAAAGATAAAAGAAAAGGCGATTCAAGTATATTGTGTGTTTAGGGATTACAATTGAACCGGCCTTGTCCCTTAAATAGAGGTTGGTCTTATCCTCTACAGACCCACCTCCATGTCCAACTCGGGATAGAAACCAAAGAAACCCGAAACATGTCTTCCCAAGTAAGGAAATCCGAAACCCGACGAAAACAGACTCGGGCTCGGACCCTGACGATCTGACCGGCCACATACATTCGGTCAGACTAGAGTTCAGGCCGCGGTCAGACCGCCCACATACCTGCGGTCTAACCGGCCCTGTGAAGGAAACCCGGCACTTTTCAAACTTTGGCAATTTTCCCCTATTTTGTTTATAGGTGACAAATTTGGTGTAAACACACTCTACTATTTTCGTTCCAAGATAACTCTTTTCTCTGCTCTGAATTTGATATATGTTAAAACAACGAATATTAATAAGTGTTTGGACCAGCTACAGCTGCATAAAGAAACACAGTGGCTATTGGCTGTCACACAATATATGGAAATAAGTGTAGTCAAACAGAGGCTTTGTTAAGATTGATCTGGGTTATTTTGGGACGGAGGATTAATCCGCTGCAGGTCAGGTCAGGTCTGGTCCGATCTGACGCGTGCATGAGTCGCCTACAAGTTCGCTCGCCGCTTCACACCGATTTCGTACTTCCAGTGAGGCCAGCAAATCATCGCCATGAAGGAGACGGCGACCAACACGAGGAGATCGACCGAGAGATGCGCAAGAGTGGAGTGGAGTCGCGAGCGCCTACACGTTTCGCCCCCCCATGTCCCGTGTATCAATCAACACTTGTCGTTTCACACAACAAACCTTCAAAACTTCCAGTCTGATGTTCCTAGTCCTAGGGTAGAAGCTCAGAAAAAGGAGGGTTCAGATCATCATCGAGTCCATTCAGAATATATATTCAGAATGAACACAAGAATATGAAATGGTTCAGATAGCGCCAGCCAGCTGGCCTCCGGTGTAGTATCTGTATGATCGATCGAGACGAGCATGGACATGACACCGATATTATATATCGATAGGTTCGCATATATCTGAAAAAGAAACTTCTATACTGGTACAGTACATTACTAATTGTATCAGCAGTTCAGCACTGATGATCTGTGCATGTGTACATGCACCATGGAGATTGATTTGAGCTGGCAAACTAAGACGCGAAATCAAATGATTGGGTGGAGGCAGCCAAAGCAAAGCGAGATATAAAGAAATAAGCTAACAGACAATTATATTGATATATAGAGAACTGCATATATGATGCAATAGTGCCTCTCACAAGTATGGAGGCAATGTATGCGGGGAAACTATTCTAATCCCTCGAGGGGATGTTCCCTCGTTTACTCAAAAACCATCTAAACGGTTATGAAAAATTCTGGAAAAATTTGACAACATTCATACAACACATATATATAACTTTACAAAATCTTAAGTCCAAACTCAACTCAAACGTCGAGATATAAAAAAGACAAATTCAGCGTATGAATAGTAGCGTACTGTTTATATCTAAATTTGTTTTTTTTTGTTTCTTGATTTGTAGATCGAATTTGAACATGAATTTTGGTGGACTAGTAGGTACCATTATACTCTACATTGTCAATTTTTTTCAGATTTTTTCACAACTATTTACATCGAATTTAGAAGAAAAAGATATACGAGGGGATATCCTCTCGAGGGATTAGAATCCACTCCCATGTATTCGTTTTGTGATGGTCCGTACGTGCAAGGGATCATCTGTATCAATTGTGCATTTGTTTGCGGCAAATTGCACGGTTTGTGGTTGGAAACATGCGAGATGATAACGAACTAATCATGACAACCTTGGAACATGCCAAACTCTCTGAAAGTAGACAGGGGAACACACGCGATTAGGTTCCTTGTAAATCTGAACCACGTTGATGCAGATGTTATTCACGTCTTTAATTTATCTAGGATCAATGCAGACGCAGTCCTTTTCAACAGATGTCCGCATGCAGGCAAGGTGATCAAACCCCTAAAAACTGGCTCGATTTGTGCTTATTTAAATACTTGAACTGGTCAATTTGCTCCAATTAACCTGCCTATTCACAAGTATCCATGCTATCTGATCCTGTTAAAAACATTACATGCCGAAAGAAAGCATTGATTTTTTTTCACAGATAATATGCATTCAAATAGTGGATAAAAATACTAAAATAGTACACCTTTTTCTAGATAATGGACATTTCATTCATCCGGCTAGTGCACTAGGATAAAAATAGCACACTGTTAAAAATTGTTATAAATACGTACCCTGATCTCAAATTTATCCATTTTTTACTCCATTCCATGGTACTTATTTAATACATTAATTTGATGCCCCAATAGAAGCACGCCAATCATGTTATAATCAAACAGCAATCACCATTTCATAGTAGTTACAAATTTAAAATGTTTGATTCCCCAATAATAACACTGATCACTGATCAATCATGGCATCATGCAAGCAGGACTAGCAGAATGCTTTCTCCTCCCACACTTTCGCTGTTCCTTCATTTCTCACCTAACCAAAGGACCTCATCGTCTACCCTAGTACTTATAAGTTGTTGCCAAAATTTAAATTTTAAAACTTGATTTGGATCAATGCTTTTCTAACGTAGTTTTTCTTCATCATTAGTTTTTGAGAAACTTTATAGTCCTTAATAAAGTACCTTATGGTACTTAAATTTTACACTACAATTTTTAGTATTTAGAGGTAGCAAATTATACACTATAAAATATGATATCTCTAGATATCTTCTCAAGGATGGTAAAATAACCATTAGTTTTTTAAGCCGTCAAAAACAGATTTGTAAAAGTTCTTATCTATAATGTTTTAATCACTAATAAACCATTACGGTCACAGGCAACCGATAGAGTCCCAACCACGCTTCACACTTCCATCCCTTAAAGCAAGAGCTCACTACTACATACATACACACCGAGAGAGATCACATCCCAAGCGAAAAATTGGTTATTAGTGGGAGCGTGCATGCCTCCATTTCTGCCGCTATAAATACTCATCTCATCTCATCATCCACCATCAGTCCGTGCAGTTTGGAGCCCACACACCACGATCTCCCGTACCTTCTCTCTGCGAGATGGGGAGGATAAAGAGTAGTAGTGGGCGATGCAGCACGGCGAGGCTGGAGGCGGTCGCCGTCCTCGTCGTCGTCTTCGGCGTCGCGTCGTCGTCGCTGCGAGGATGCATTGCGCAGCAGAGCGGAGGAGGGCTAACCAGGGGCAGCTTCCCCGAGGGGTTCGTCTTCGGCACCGCCTCCGCCGCGTACCAGGTTAGTCACGGATGGATTTCCCATTGTTGTTTTGAGAGATAAACTTGTGGAGAATCTGTTGTTCGGTTTCAGAGACAAACTTGTTTGTTCATCCTTTTTGCCGTTTTAGTCGTACAGTGGTTGAACACACGTACGTACGACTTGATCAGTGATGATTAGTTACCAAATTAAGGGGGGATAGCCGGATGGAAGTGCAAATGGGATAAGAAACAAACTTTGCTTTTGTTTCTGGAATTTATGTGTGTCTCTCGTCTTTGCCGGATTCTCGATCTCCCCCCTCCCTCTCAAAGTTGTGTTCTTGTCTTGTGACCTTGGGTTTGCTCGTTTGCTTTTGGAGAGTGGCGTCTCAGATCTTGAAATCACCTGCGTCGTTGCCATCTCCGAATGTCCGGTCCTCCATGCGTCCACCTCAACACATAGCTTTCAGCGTGCACGCGCCCATACGGCAGAATTGCACACTTTTGTTACAGTCGCGCGCGCCAGATTGGCGGAAGCTTTTTTCTTCCATTCTAGGAGAACAGTACCGACAAAAGAACACCACTACACTCTGATCTCTTCTCCTTTTTCCATCCCAAAACAATAGGTTCGGTCCATACGGACTACATTGGTACATGTTCCAGAGTCACCATGTGTAGTGGACTATTTTTACTGAAAACGAATGTGCGCAGCGTGCGTGCGTGCGTTGCGTCTGATCGTCGCTCGCCGTTGCGCAGGCGGTTTTGGCCGTGGTCCGTGGAAAATTCCGCGGAAACGATCGGAACCACCTCCACCACCAGCAGCGGTTCACGTGCCGCGTCCGCTTGCGAGGAGAAGACGAGAACGCATGGGGGGACGTGGCCCTGGGCCCTGGCCCCGCGCGGCCTACCGCGAATTCGATCGCCAGAGGCGCGCGGACCAGGAGTAGTTGGGGGCGCCTTGGCGGTTGGCTGGCTCCGCGCCGCGCGACACCACCGCCCAGTCCACCACCACCCCGCGCCGCGCGGCGCGCCGGCGCCCAGCTTCTCACGCATTCTCTCGCCGTCTCCCGCGCGCGCGGCGCGGCCATCGTGAGATCGTGGCGCCCGGAAGAGGAGGCTTGGTGACCAGAGTATTTTTTTAGATAAGTCACCGGGGGGGGGGGGGGGGGGATTCCCCACCTGAATTTTCATTAAAAAGGAGGGCTACAAAGTTTGTTACACATTCGTCAGAGTTTGAAGTGGAGCCGAAAAGATAAGCTTCCAAGAAGTTATTACAGAGCGATGCTCAAATTTGAGGCGTTCTAGCCAAAGACCACATTCCTCCATACATTTGCGAAGAACCGATTGCAGAGACGGGGACATGTTCCTGAAGACAACGTCATGGCGATGTTTCCACAAGGACCAAAAACATAGCAGATAGAACACCCTGAAGTGCAATTCAGGCAGATTCCCATCGGGTTTAAGATTGGCCATATCAGTAACCATGTGTATTCGAGGGCTTAAACCTATTGCCTCCCAGAAGCCTTGAGCGAAGGGGCAATTTAGACAAAAATGACTTCCGTCTTCCACTTCAAGGTTGCAGATGTCACAAGTAGCAGAGGAAACGATTCCTTTTTTAATTAGATTATGTTTCGTTGGTAACCTTTCCTTTGCTAGAAGCCAGGCAAAAAATTGCACTTTTAGAGGTGCTCTGTTGCACCAGATGAACTTCCAATTCACACAGCGAAGGCGGTCATTGAAGTTTTTGAGGTAAAGTTTCTTTACTGAGGGAATAGGCACATTTGAAAGCTCTGAACAAATCCTCACATCTTCACCAGCATGGAGAGAAACCCCCTGGAGCTCTGCTTGGTGACCAGAGTAGACACGAAAACAATCGGAAATGATCATAAACGGTATCATTATTTTATCATTTTTATAAAAACGATCGAAAATAATTGAGATATTTTTATATTATGAATTAATTATTTAGTGCCAATTTCAATGTAACATTGATAGAATTAAAAAAAACTAAATTTTAGGAATGATAAATATTTGTAAAAATTGTTACTTATTATATTAGTTTGGAAACGGTATAGGTACGGTAACCAGATTCAGTTGGTTTGTTCGTTTGACGACAAGACACGCTACGCTAAAAATACCGACGCGACCATGCAAATAGCAGCACTGTGAGTCTGATTCAGATTCGTGTATGTATTTTGATGTGAATAAACAGTGGGTTTTTGTTTTTTTTTATTTCGTAGTACGAGGGAGCTGTGAAGGAGGACGGGAGAGGGCAGACCATCTGGGACACGTTCGCGCACACCTTTGGTACGTACGTATTGCTACACGTTTTTCTTTTCTCAGTACTGCAAAGTTTATTCCAGATTAATCTGCCTGTCGTCATATCAAATTAGGGCGTTTCTGCAAAGCAAATACTCCTACTTATACCTATCAAGTTCAAGCACATTCGTGGTGATTTCATTTCTGAACACGTTTATTATAGGACACTAGGGGTGTGTTTGAGGAGAGCTTAAGATTTTAATAAACAACTCGTGGATAGTCAGCTTCTGTCAATCTAAAAAGGTTGTGCTTTTTTTCAGCTTTTAGCTCTTCTAGATTCTACAAATGTAGCTTCCTAAGATCTAAATGAAAAGCTATACTATTAAGTGAGTTCCTTATTTTATAAGAAGCTGTAGTTGTCAGAATATCTTTCAAATATAGCCTAAAACTGCAATACGAAAGCCGAAAGCTCCCCTTTTGTGGAGAATCCAATCATTGGATCGTGCCACTTGTACATCTCGTCTCTTGTGCAGAGTGCAGACATGGTACCTAGATAGACAGTATAGTTAGTGCTTGAAGCTTGTCGCAACTTTCTTCACCCAAAGTTGGATAATGGAGCAAACAAGACCGCAATTGTGCTATTTGATACTAGATCTCACCTACCTTTCATAATTAGTAGTACATGTAATTCAGTAGTAGGGATAACTAAGGTAGTGCTCATGTAGCTTAAGATAGTGGGCCTAGTGGGTAAGAATTAGTTGGCATCTGTGTTCATCTTTCGTAATACTGGCTGATCTTTAACCTTAACCAGGTGTTCTCAGGACTAGTAGTTGCAGCTAGTCACTACCGTAACGCTAATGTTTTGCTTATTTCTCATCTTTTTGTGCAGGAAAGATCACCGACTTCAGCAATGCTGATGTTGCAGTTGATCAGTACCACCGTTTCGAGGTGAGCACCACTCTCTCTGATTCTCTCTATCTTTCAGATCAAGTGCACACGTATTCATATCTTATCCATTTATCCTGCAAAATGAGCACAATATAATCGATGTAGCCTACGAAATGGATGCTTTTTTCAGGAGGATATACAGCTCATGGCAGACATGGGGATGGATGCGTATCGGTTCTCGATAGCATGGTCAAGAATCTACCCAAGTACGTGGTCTCCAACTGAGAAACTAGCGAAGTCGACCATGATGTCAAACTGCGTCTTCAGTCAGAAATTTTTACCTGCACTTTCTGTCCCCATATTCTAATTAGCCTTTGCATCATCTCGTGCTTACTCCAGATGGTGTTGGTCAAGTCAATCAAGCTGGTATCGACCACTACAACAAGCTGATCGATGCACTTCTAGCAAAAGGTGAGCACACAGATTTGAAAGTGATAAATTCAGGTCATCTTGACAGCTTCTGAATTTGCTGAAAAAGTATAACAATCTTTCAGGAATTCAGCCATATGTGACACTCTACCACTGGGACCTCCCCCAGGCCCTTGAAGACAAGTACAAGGGCTGGCTTGACAGGCAGATAGTGTGAGTGTCGTCTCCCTCAATTAACTAACCAGTTACACACTTACAATTCAATTTCCTTTTTTTTAAAAAAAAAAACAAAGGAAGAAGTTCTGCCTCATTTCATTGATAAAAAAGAGATACACATCAACTAAAGAAAGGGTTCATACTGAAAACACCATCCTACAAGCACCTAAGATCATTCCTCGAAGCTAGCACTAAACACCTGAAAACACCAAAAACGTACACTTTCAACTAACCCAGCAACAATCTTCATGGCAGAGTTACCAATCCCAATGGCAATTTCAGTTAACTAAGTAGGAGAAATTAACGATCTTGATGAATGAATGTATCAAAAAAATGCAGAGAACTTACACTTGAACTAATCCAGCATCAATCTTCATGACAGAATTACTAATCCCAGTGGTAGTTTCAGTTAATTAAGTAAGTACACTAACCATCTTGGTGAATGTACCTATCCAAAAATGCAGGGACGATTTCGCGGCGTACGCGGAGACGTGCTTCAGGGAGTTCGGGGACAGGGTGAAGCACTGGATCACGCTCAACGAGCCGCACACGGTGGCCATCCAGGGCTACGACGCAGGGCTCCAGGCCCCCGGCCGCTGCTCCGTGCTGCTCCACCTCTACTGCAAGGCCGGCAACTCCGGCACCGAGCCCTACGTCGTCGCCCACCACTTCATCCTCGCCCACGCCGCCGCCGCCAGCATCTACAGGACAAAATACAAGGTGACAAACTGATCCGTTCTGAATTTCTTCCCATGTCAATGTGTTGCTGCTGCGTTCTTCCCATTATCGATCTTTATCTTACTATACGGATGGAGTGGGAATCGCAGGCGACGCAGAACGGGCAGCTTGGGATAGCGTTCGACGTGATGTGGTTCGAGCCGATGTCCAACACCACGATCGACATCGAGGCGGCCAAGAGAGCGCAGGAGTTTCAGCTAGGATGGTGAGCTAAGCTCTCTTCACCTCCCTTTTCATACACCGGTCTTATCGTCTTCTCATTAGTCATTATCTACCTCTGCTTCGACTTCGGCTATATTTGATTTAGATTATTGTCGCGGATTATCTACTTGGGTAAATAAATATCTTAAAAGATAAACTTAACAGATGGCCTGAAAAAAGTGGTCTAAACAATACAACAAAAAAGTTTTTTTTTTTTAGAAACGTATTCCATTTTTAGTGAGTTGAAAAGAACAGTGCCGAATCGACATGTTCTTTTTTTCTAAGGAAAACATATCACACATGTTACAGTATGATTGACCGGCTGCATTGTTTGCAATGGAAGGTTTGCTGATCCGTTCTTCTTCGGCGACTACCCGGCGACGATGAGGGCGAGGGTGGGGGAGAGGCTGCCGAGGTTCACGGCGGATGAGGCCGCCGTCGTCAAGGGGGCGCTGGATTTCGTCGGCATAAACCACTACACCACCTACTACACGAGGCACAACAACACCAACATCATCGGGACATTGCTCAACAACACCTTGGCAGACACCGGCACCGTCAGCCTCCGTGAGTTCTCCTTCGCCATTTTCGTGCTTGGTTTTTAGTGTGATTCCAGGGTTCATATCCTCTACCTAGTGACACTATCATTGTACTCCCTCTGTTTCACAGTGTAAGTCATTCTAACATTTCTCACATTCATAATGATGTTTAATATGAATGTGGGAAATGTTAGAATGATTTACATTCTGAAACGGAGGAAGTAAACACTAACCCTACGATAGAAAGGTGTGACCCACATACCAGTGACTATAATGATAATAATATTATGGTAGAGAATCCTCACCCATAATTCTGGTAATGGTATGGATGCTGATTTCTTCTTTTTCTTGGTGATGGTTTGCGCTTTTGCAGCATTCAAGAATGGGAAGCCAATTGGAGATAGGGTGAGTTTGGCACCAGAATTAATCTTGTGGACTCCGGATGACCATTGCGAATTTTGCAATGTCACACTGAATTTGAAACGAGGTGTGCTGTTGTTTCGCAGGCAAATTCGATATGGCTGTACATTGTGCCCCGAGGGATGAGGAGCCTGATGAACTATGTCAAGGAAAGGTACAACAGCCCACCAGTGTACATCACTGAAAACGGTAAGAGCATGAATCCTTGCTTTACCCATATTTTTGCGCATGAAACTAGCAGTCGTGAACCCAAGATTACACCAGAGTTGTGACAGTGTATAGCTGATGATGATTCAGGGATGGATGACAGCAACAACCCGTTCATTTCCATCAAGGACGCCCTCAAGGACAGCAAGAGGATCAAATACCACAATGACTACCTCACCAATCTGGCTGCTTCCATCAAGTAAAGCTACAGCAACTACGATTCTTTGCTAATTTCACATTGCAAATATTGGTTATATGCATTCAAAGTGTAGATATATATTTTCTTCTACAATAAAAGCCTTAATTAGTCCTCCGTGGATGGTGATGTTGCAGGGAGGACGGGTGCGACGTACGTGGGTACTTCGCGTGGTCTCTGCTGGACAACTGGGAGTGGGCGGCCGGATACTCCTCGAGATTCGGGCTCTACTTCGTGGACTACAAGGATAACCTCAAGAGATACCCCAAGAACTCGGTGCAGTGGTTCAAGGCCCTCCTGAAGACCTGAACTCCAGCTGAGAAGTAGTGCTACAATAGTTTGGGCGCCATTTCCATACATCCGATAGATTTATTGGTCTGCACATATACGAATATACGATACCCTGCATATCTCGGAAATGTTTTGTGGTTTTTGTTTTGTTTGTGATACGATAGAATGTATCACTGAATCGTCTGGTCTGTTAGCACACGAGTGAAAAGGGGTAGTACTGCACTCTGCACCTTGTCAGCTTCAAATTGGAAGTCCGGATTCGGCTAATGCAGAGGGTGGCATTAGCTCCAATCCTATCCATCTATCTCTATTCAACGGCTGTGATTAGTTAAACATCTTTCTTATTTTTGCTGTTCGTATATTTTGACAGGGAGGAGATGGTTGCAAGTCTGAGCGTTCATGGTTCTTGCATGTTTGAACTGACTTGTATCAAAAACTCAAGTCAAAAATTGTGAGTTACTGTTCTTGTTGAGGAGCTTTGCCGCTGGGGAAAAAGAAACACGCGTGACCAGCGCACCCCAGTAGCCAAAGGCTGTGTTTACTCCCACTTCCAACTTTTCCATCACATCAAATGTTTGGACACATGCATGGAGCATTTATGCATGGAACATTAAATGTGAAAAAAAAACCAATTACACAGTTTGTATGTAAATTGTGAGACGAATCTTTTAAGGCTAATTACGCCATTATTTTACAATGTGATACTACAATAAACATTTATTAATGACGAATTAATTAGGCTTAAGAGATTCGTCTCGTAGTTTACAAACGAAATCTTATTAATCTACATTTAATACTTTAAATGTGAGTCCGTATACATAAAAAAATTTCATACCTAAACAACTAAACATGGCCTGTACCCCACCTTCCCCTCCCGGCGGCACAGCAGCGCGCGCCGCGCACTCCCACGACCTGTCAAGATCCACATCGGAGTAGCGGACGGCGAGACGGTTTGTTGCCGTTCTTGCCGATCCGATCAGCCTGAGCCTCCTTGGTTCAGGCCTTCAGGCGCGCAGAGCGGAAAGTAACTAGCTGTCCTAAAGCGGCGGACACCATGGCCCGAGGATCTTTAAGTACGAGTACACAGGACGATAAAGCTATTAGTATATAATTAATTAGGTTTTAATTATTTTAAATTTAAAAAATATATTTATCTGATATTTTAATTTAACTTTTATATAGAAAGTTTTCGCATAAAATATATCGTTTAGCTATTTAGAAAATATGCTACCAAAAATTAAGATAAGATCTGTATCTTAACTTAAAAAATGAGATAAGACAAGATAATACTCCGCTCTTCCAGATTCACTATAAACTGGGATATTAGGTCGTCTTGGCCTTGGAAATGCCAGGGAGTATATCTCAATACTCTCTATCGCCATCCACCGTGTGTAAACAAACCAATGAACAACTAAGGCCGAGTTTAGTTCCAAACATTTTCTTCAAATTTCTAACTTTTCCATCACATCAAAACTTTCCTACACACATAAACTTGTAACTTTTTTCTTCACACTTTCAATTTTAGTCAAATTTCTAATTTCAGCGTGGAACTAAACACAACCTAATACAGAATCAGTCCAAGTCGCGACGCCCGGCGAACGGATGATGCCAACTGCTCAAGCGCCAAGGCCGTGCGAGCGTGACTGGAAACGTAACGCACAACAATTTCGCCATGACTTAAAAAGAGCAGCCGGAAAAGGCGATGGAGCGTGAACACCGCACAAGGAGACACATGGATGGCTGTTACCGCCTCGTTCGAACCATTCACCGCCATACCTTCCCAAATACTACAACACAACGAACCAACAGCCAAGTTTCTCCAAGAGGCAATAAGAGATTAACAGATCGGTACAATTCGCACCTCGTGCAGTTGTCAATAGTCGACACAGCAAAACTATCATCTTTACATAAGCAGCTTCATCAAATTATTCCAAGAAAAAGAAAGCAATCTTGCAATAAAAAAAAGGATAAGTAGGGGTAACGATTCATCGTAGAAACAACGGGTGGCAACTCAAGTAAGCCACGTCAGTTGAATTTGCCTATCATTATTGACAGCTTTGTTGGTTTTGGACAAAGAAAACAAGGAAAATGGTGCTCAAAAAAATTTCCTCCACGTCGCACACACAATGTGCATGGACGAGGCCATAATATACTGATGCCAAAAGAGGCAATTATCTTGCCTTTGCAGAATGTAAACATAGTACATCGGTTGGAGAGTCTAGTAACGGAGCATGTAGGTCCGGCGCCTGAACCAGTTGTAGTCCGGAAGACCCTGAATGGGTCCCATTGCAGCAATAGCGATATCCTGAGAAAAAGAGATAATGACAATGAATATTGGCCTCCTGCCCACTGAGCAAAATTTAAGTTCATATGATGTAACGTTTGTATTGCTCTTCACATAAAGCGCAATATTTGCCCAAGCCACCAAAAATACTTGCTCCTAAAAATCTGTGCATCTTGGGTTCACAGAATGAGAATTTGTTGCTCACAGCAAAGCAAAAGCATAGCATTGAAACTATATGTACACAAGTAACCAGTAAACTATTCTGTAGGATGGTAAGGAAAGAAAACACGCGTTTATCACTAGTGATTAGTGTGAAAGAGAGGATTACTGGCAGCTCCATAACAAAGCATGCCTCATGAAAAACATGATACAAGTGACTAAAATTTGGTAGGTTCAGCATATTAATACTATGAAAAACTAGCTAAAGGACCATGCATTGCAACTGATATTATAAGAGATAAAAGCAAAAGCAAAAAAAATACAGTTTATAGCATAGTTAGGCATATAAAAGTGCCATATCGAAAGCAAAAGCATATTCACGTGTGGTCGTGTGGGGACCTTATGGCCCCACATGTCAGCTTGTGGCATTGGAGATAGACTCGGACAGCACCACTAGCATCATTTAAAGTAGTATAGCAAAAGCAAAAAAATATAGGTTACAGCATAGTTAGTTGATTAGGCATATAATGCCATATCTAAAGCAAAAGCACGTGTGGTCGTGTGGGGACCTTATGGCCCGGCGTTGGAGGCAGACTTGGACACCACCATTATATCATTTAAAGTAGTACAGAAAATCAAATATTCTACATGCCATATCTGTATGCTGGCAAAATAACAATTACCTGGTCAAAAATGAAACGGTTGGCCACTCGCTTGACTGTGCTTGCGTCAACTGCATCTATTCTTGCAAAAAGCTCAGGAATAGGAATTCTTCGACCATAGATGAGTAACTGAGAAAAAAGAAAAAAATAAGCTAGTGTGGATGGCATTAATCAAGAATGTGATGTGACATCACATAGCTAAAACCTGGTAATACCTGACGGCCAATATCCTCAACAACAGCAGTGGAACCATCGAGGTGCAGTTGGATGGAAGATTTCAGCTGGAAGTCAGACCAAAGTAATGAGAATGTGAAGCTGAAGTGCATAGTACTATATTGTGGCCCAAATCAGTAGTAATTCAAAGAGATACCTGATTACGTGCACGGATAACATCTTCCTCAGTAACCCGGTATGACAGTTTGCTAATCTCTTGCATGATTGCAAAAGCCAAATCATCCAAGCAGTCAGGCTGCAAAATAGGTGATACAAAACCATCATAAAAAAGGAGGGTGTGAACACTAGCAACAATATTATCACAATACTACTGTGCATTTCGAGAAGCCCTCGATCAACAAAGTGCTATAAAATCGAACAGACAAATCAAGTGGACCCAAGAAAAAAGAAGAGCAATATCGTGTATGTACCATGCTCATGTCCGACAGAGGAAAATTTTGCATATTGCGCTAGACTACCAAGTTTGCCAAGATATTTCAAACTTGCTAGCCAAAGTAGGGGAAGAATAACCCCACAATGCAAAACACACACACACACACACACACACACACACACACACATACACACAAAAACATCCACTTCATCTAAGCAACCCATGAGTATATCTGTGCCAAGTAATCAAGTTTAACACTTCATTCGACGAAAAAGCAGAAGCAAGAATTGGAACAGGAACACCATCACCACTTCCACAGATCAGTAATACAGAGCTCTTTAGGCCTGAATTTTTGTTCAATTACTCTAACCATAACATTTGAGGGGTTCGGACAATTATTATTATGGTAACCATGGATAGGAAGGATTGCATGACCAAGGATTTGCACTTCAGACATACATCACTATGAAAAACATATAAGAATAAAAGACCAGTTCGAGCACTTAATATAAACTTTTCCTTGATAAATAGACATTCAAGCAAGACTTACCTTAGCAACAGCGTAGACACCAAAGAGGCCAGTGTCCTTGTAATTTGTATTAAATGCCATTATACTCTCAGCAATGTCATTGATCGCTACCCTTTGTACAAGCTCTGAACTGTAAAAGTTATGTAGGATGATCATCAGTCAGTAGAACAAAACAAAATTTGGTCCATATAGAAACACTGATAAAAACACCAAGAGCTAGAGAAAGAAAAAAATACCCCATGTGTTTCCCTCCTCCAGCACTCTTGTTCCATGAGCCAAGCATGGATTGCATGACCATCAAGGCAATAGAATCAGGATCTATCCATGATGCTCCATTAAAGGCAACAGCAAATTGAGCAAGGGGCATGTCATCATCAATGATGCGGACCTATTGAGTAGCATAAACTGAGATCAAGCCATATTAACAATAGATAGTGCAGGTAAGCGTCAAACACACCTCAGAACCAGTAAAGCAGGCTGGTTGGGTAGAAACCAACATGCTTGTTGTTGTAGGGTCAGTTGGTAGGTCATTAAACAGTTTTGTTGCCATCTCTACAATATCATCATGCTTAACAGCACCAGCAGCAGTGATAACCTGAAAACATATAGAAGCGTATGATATTTACTAGTGAAAATGGTCCATCCAACTGCAGCAATAGAGGTACTATAAAACAATAAATCTGTGAATAAAAAAATTCAATAAATTCATTATCATGTACCATTCTAGGAGCCGTATAATGTGTTTCAATATACTTCTGGAGGTCCTCTTGGGTAATTGACTTGACATTTTCTGCAGAACCCAAGATTGGTCTGCCAAGAGAAGTGTACTGGAATGCAGTTGCATGGAGATGATCGAATATAACTTCCTCATATTGTCCCTCAACCTAATATAAGATAGCAACAGTCAGAAGTTATGCCGATGCCCCTCAAACAGAAAAAAAAAAAAGGCCTTAGCTAGTGAATTATGACACAGTGTGCCTTAGCTAGTCAATCAAAGGATTAGATAAATATTGGTTTCCACAATTAGGATAAATAAAGCAAAAGAAACAATCTATAGAAAAAATTCATGTGAACAACCGCAACGCTTCAAAATTAGTATGTCTATATGTCTAACATAAATGTACTTAATCCAAAAGGAAGATTTAGAAGATTTCGCATCATATAAAAATACCCATAACACAACAGGATAAGGTGAAGTTATTTCCATCCAGCATCTGTCGTGTTGAATTTGCATTTGAATGCAGCTTATCTAATTTATCATGGGCCTAAAGGTAATATATAATGCATATATAATCTACACCAGAACGCCAACAACTAGTAACATAAATCAGCCACCATCACAATGAAGATGATTAATTAAGGGATGTTCACATCTAAGCATAAGGAAGCAAACCTCTTCCATCTCTCGCAGAATAACATCGCGCTCACGTTCAATGCGGGACTCTTCCAACTTTGAGTGCTGCAGAATGTCCGCAAGAATATTAAGTGCACGCGGCACATCCTTGTCGAGTACTTTGGCATAGTAGGTCGTCTGCTCCCGCGACGTGTATGCGTTGAGGTGGCCGCCGATGTTCTCGATCTCCTCCTCGAGCTGCGCGGCGTTGCGGTCACCCGTGCCCTTGAACAGCATGTGCTCGACGAAATGCGCGACCCCGGCCGAGTCCTCCGTCTCGTACCTGCTCCCGGCGTCGATCCACACGCCGACGGTGGCGGTGCGCGAGGCGAGCGAGGACTCCGTGGCGACGCGGAGCCCGTTGGGGAGCGTCGTGACGCGGGTCTCCGGCGCGGCGAGGATGGCGGTGTGGTCGGCGTGGGCGGGGACTGGGCTCGCGTAGCGGAGGAAGCGGGGGTCCGGGTGCTCGAGCCGACGGAGCCTGGCGTTGACGGCCTCGGCGATGCGGTCGTACACCATCATCGGGGGGCGGACCGGGGCCGCGTCGGGGGCGATGACGCCGGGCCCCGCGGCGGCGACCGCGGTGGATGCCTCGCGCGCATTCCCGGGCCCCGCCGCCGCCGCCGCGGCGGCGGAGCGACGGCGCACTGCGGCGGAGAGGAGGCGGCGGAACGCCATCGCGGGGGGATCTGTGGCGGTGGGGCCTCGCCGGAGGCGGCGGCGGCGGCGGCGGAGGTGGAGATCTAGCTCGGCTAGGGTTTGGAGAGAGACGGGTGGATCGGGGAGATGGGGAGAAATAGAGAGAGAGAGAGAGAGAGAGAGAGAGAGGGCGTTGTCGCGTGGAGGCTGGAGGGTGGGATGCCTGCCAAGTGGGAGGAAGAGAGGGCTTGGGTGCGCGAAGCTTAGCTTGCGGAGGTCCCACCTGTCAGTCAGAAAAGGCGGTTGGACTTGGACCGCGGGATCACTGGGCCATTGATTGACTTCGTTTCTAGCCCATGGGCTCTTCTTGGGCCTAATGGAGCCCATAAAACGAATGCTAGGTTGTACTCTCTTCGTCTTGTAAAAAACAAACATATTTAGATTCATATTATTAGTATATGTCACTAATATGAATATGAATATATTTGTTTTTTTATGAGAATGAGGGAGTACTATGTAGTAGATCTCATGTGTTCTTTTGACGTCTGATAAATTTCGTTTGGAGAAATCAAATATACTCCATCCTTTTAGTTCTTAATCTTATTTTGTACTTCCTAAAAATATATTTGGTGATTAGGATAAATCTAGACAATTTTTAAAACTTTACCTAACAAATTTACATTGAATAATTTTGTTATACAATATAACAGATTTATGGTATGTATTGGTATTTTTTCAAGGCAATACACACAATTTTTTTTTAAAAAAATAAACATTTGAGAAATATTTGATATCAAAGTTCCAATACTTGACCAAATCATGCCAAATGTTTATGATTGGAGGGAGTAATTCATACAAACTTATACAGTGACCAAACATTCAGCAGAGGGAACAAAATAGGAATATTATGGGCATACATCATTTTAAACCTGAGAAGCATATACATGAGCTCCTTTTTAGCACACAAGGAGATGCTCAGTTCGTCAGTTCCAGTTTACTGTTTTTACAGCCAATTATTTTCAGTCCAGTGAAAATCGCCGTAAAAATCTTCATCCAGAAGTCCAGAACAAAATGAGCTAAGAACCAAGGTATATATATGAACACGATGGTATTTCTGATTTGGCAAGAACGAAGGTTTTGAGTACAAGAATACTACTGCAGCATATCATAGAAATTCTTGTTTGAATTTCCACTTTTATGTTCCTTGTACAACTTCTCAACCTCGGTGTGGTTGCATCTGAAGCACAGAGCTACTGATAAGGCATGTACATAAAAAGAACTCGAGGGGACAACTGAAGATACAAAAATTTAATGTGATTTTGTTTCCGGTTCAGATAGTTCAAAGAATCTAGAACATGCGTGGCAATGCCTTGGATTTCTCAGCAAGTACAGTCGACTGATCATGAAGACATGATGAAATCAGCATTCCGGTGTCCATGCATCGCTGTCGACATAAACTGTCAGACACCATTGAAATATAAGAAGCATTAAGAGCATGCTTCAATTTGTGAATGCAGAAATATTTATTCTGGATTAGATTCAATGAACTTCATAAGTAAATACATTTTCTTAGCTCCCTTGAAAGTAAACTCACCATGACTGTTTTTCCGGCCGAGGATGAAATTTTGGTTCCTTTGGAACTGTTGCTGGTTTTGCAGATCTTTTGGAGAACAAACCAGAGATAGAACTGAGTATTAGTAACTTGTGCAAATGGTAAGATAATGCTGGTGTGCTACTGCAAAGTAAATATACAGCATTGATTTCTTTAGAAAGAAATGACAATACTGAATCATTATTTCCAAGCAACAGACGAGAGTGAAAGTGCTACAAAAAGAAATTTGGCAGGCTAAGTTTCACTTATAAACTGGATATTCACCTTTTTGGAATGAACGGCCGATCAAAGTACGGCATTGGCTGAGCTTTAGGAACCAGCTCTTTCCTGAGCTGCTTGATCATCTCTTCCTCCTCCAGCTTCTGCTGCCGCTCCCTCTCCAGCCTTAGTTGCTCAGCGAACTTGTTCCTTTCTGACACCTGCATTCTCAACCAAGCATACCAAGTATATGCAATAAGTAACGTTGTGGTTTACTTAAATATAATACACAAGACATATAATGAGTTTGTGGTGCGATGCTCACATATTGATCAAATTCTGCACGTTCAATTGCTCGTACATCACTGTGCAGAACAAGGTCAACAGGCTCGGTGGTTTCTTTGACTGGTGGCTTTATCAAGCACTGCAGAATAAAAACGCAGAGTCAGGATACCATAGAAAATAGGTAAAATTATTCATCATACTGATTTCAAAGAAAAATAGGTAAAAAGCTGTGCAAATATACTCAATCCTGACTATTTTGATATGTTAACTAACCTAGCTGCAATGAGAACAGCCAGGACAAACAAGCGCAAACAACAAATTTTAAGCCAACTCACTTTGCTTTTTGAACAAACTGGTAATGAAAGCCTTGCTTTGAAGAGAAAACAAGAATGCTCTAGTCTAGACATACCTCAGGTTCATCTGTTGTCCATGGAAGTCCTTGTGCAATATGTATACGTTGCTGCTCTTCCTCCATAAGCATTTCTTGTACTTTTTGAATAAACTGTTGTTCCTTCACCCTTCCCCGTTGCTGTTGCAAAAAAGAAAAAAAGGAGTGATTGATTTTGATGCACTAGTTTATTTGAGGGAACAGCTAGAGATTGTCATCAAAAGAATCATAATCTGTAGAAAATACAGAGCAATGCACTGAGCAAATTGTATTTGCAAAATCCAACGAGAAGCAAAGTAAATCAGAGATTGAACCAAATGTTGTTGCATTGGATGTATCAACATGGTACTAGCAATTGGCATGTCAAAGAGAAACACTAAAGAATAGTATGGCACGACACATTTCACTCAAGTACTGTAAATCTTGGGCTAAGAATATTTCAGATATCTAATAATCTTTCCATAAGCATCAGATGTATGTTGCCATGTTTATCCTTATAAACACATACAACCAACTCATTGAAACGCTTCATAATAAAAAGTATACTTTTATGCTACCATTCTACCCATTGTCACTTGATGGCGCATTTCAGTTTGAAGAACAGTAACACTGGCTGGTAATGGACTTAATAAACACTTCAAAATTGACACGAAGCCAGGTATAGGTCGATTGTGCTGTTGTTGTCACTGTAGTATCAAATTAACCCATAGGGCCCCTTTGAATCGCAGGGTAGAAAAAACGGAGGAATAGGAAAAACACAGGATTCTGACAGGATTTGAAGTGTAAAACAGAGGATTGCAAAACACAGGAAAAACATAGGAATAGTCGTTTGATTGGAGCGCAGGAAAAACGCAGGAATCGGATGAGAGAGATAGACTCAAAGGAAATTTTCCAAGAGGTTGGAGCTCTTGCTAAATTTCCTCCAAAATCCACATGCAATGTGCCATTCCATAGGAATTTCATAGGAATTGGAAAGCTTCAATCCTTTGAATCAAAGGGCCAAATAGGAAAATTTCCTATAGGATTTGAATCCTATGAAATTCCTACATAAATCCTTTGATTCAAATGGGAATTTTATTTGGCCCTTTGATTCAAAGGATTGAAGCTTTCCAATTCCTATGAAATTCCTATGGAATGGCACATTGCATGTGGATTTTGGAGGAAATTTAGCAAGAGCTCCAACCTCTTGGAAAATTTCCTTTGAGTCTATCTCTCTCATCCGATTCCTGCGTTTTTCCTACGCTCCAATCAAACGATCATTCCTGTGTTTTTCCTGTATTTTGCAATCCTCTGTTTTACACTTCAATTCCTGTCAGAATCCTGTGTTTTTCCTATTCCTCCATTTTTTCTACCCTGCGATTTAAAGGGGCCCTAAAACTTTTGTGCACTTCTCCTATCCTAAACGGCCTAATGACACAATAGATTTACAACAACGATTCACACTGCATCAAACATATCGTTTACCTCGGTTCTCAGCTTGAACGGATGCTGGCTTGTGACCTTCAGTTTCTTGTTCCAACTGCTTCTTAGCGACTCCGATGTCTGACAATCAAAGAATAATATACGTTCACATCAGAGGCCAAATATGAAACATAATTAACTCCCAAAAGGAAACAAAATTCATCGTATGTCCTCACATTTCGCCTGCTCCTGCACCCCCCTGCCGATGTCCGGCTGTCCCAACTCAACCTGAAAAGATACAGAATTGTTGATCAAACTATTGCATTGGCAGCAACCAAAACACAATCCATATCCCCCACTTGTTCAAATTGACCAACCTGTCGCTTTTCCCATCAAGTGAAGAACAGAGCCTGTTCGGTCCTGCATTCAAGAACTCAGCAGAAGAGGACACCGACACCGGCGGCATCCCTATCTTACCCTCGCAATCTTCCTTCCATGCCTGTAACCCGGGGAGCGCCCAGGACCCCTCACCGGCCCTGTCGGCGTCAGAGGTGGCTCCAGAGATGGAGAGGATGCTCTCGAAGGCCTGCACAAGGTGCTTGACACGACCAGCGCCAGAATCAGGGACGCTGCTCAACGCCTTGGTCATCACTTTGGTCCTCAGCGCCCTCACTTTGCTGCTCCCTTCCAGTTCCGCTACATCTTCCTCCTCCAATGTCTCCAATGCTCCTTTCTTGGCTTCTTGCGCGGCCGCCTTCTCCTCCTCCTCCTCCTTTTGCAACTGCTCCTCTGCTGCTGCGGCCGATGCGGCGCGCTCCTTGCGGAAGAACTCCTCGTGAGACGTGCGCAGGGCCTCGCGGGCGGCCTCCCTGCACTTGTCGAAGTCGAAGTCGCCTCCTCCGCCACCGCCGCCGCCTCCATTGGCGCCGTTGCGCCTCCGCCGCGCCCTCTTCTTCGCCACGAGGAACCGCCTCTCCCGCGGCGGCGGCGGCGGCGCCGGCGTGGAGATCTTCTTCCTGGCGGAGGCGGAGGCGGAGGCAGACTTGGACGCGGTGGTCGGCGACTTCGCGGGCTTCGACGGCGGGGGGGACCCCAGGATGTTGGGGTGCGCGTTCTCCGACGAGGCGTGCGAGAGCCGCGCCAGGGTGGGGTTCTTGGACGGGGTCCCGGCCTCCCCCGCCGCCGCCGCCGCCGCCGCCGCCGCCGGGATGTTGGGGTGCGCGTTCTCCGAGGAGGCGTGCGAGAGCCGCGCGCGTGAGGCGGGCTTGGAGGACGGGGTGGTGTTCCCGGCCGCCCTCCCCCCCGCCGCCGCCGCCGCCGCCTTGGTCGGAGTCCTCGCCGTCGCCGTCGACGTCGCCATGTCTAGGGTTTGGGCCTCGCGTGCGTGATGAGTGAGGTGGTGGATTTTCTTTTGCTACGATGGAGAATTGGAGATTGTGGGAGGGGGGAGCGGAAGGAGATGGGAAAAAAAGAGAACGTTGCGGCGAGCGGGCGATCCTAACGGCTAGTTTCTCGCAAGGCGGGCCCACCCGAGGTGGCTAAAATGGTGGTGCTACTTTCTGCACCTGGGCCGTTTCTTACCCGACCCACTGGGATGTGGGCCAGGATCGTGGGTGGGGCCCAGTTTCATCGACTAGGGCAAATGTGGTCGATGTGGTGTTGCAGTGTAGCAGCTGTCAGGTGGGAGAGACGCTTGCGTGGCGATTAATCCCTTTCACAAGATTCCAATTCTCTTGAGATGATTTATTTTACACATAATCCTCCTCAATCTCTTCAAATCCTTTTCTCCTCGGGGATTAACCAAACAAAGTCTGGAGAGTGTCCTAACGGTGCAATAAACATGCGACAACTGAAGGTGTTCTCAGTGCAGATTGTTATAATTTTGGGTCCAATTTGATGAAATTACTCCTACCTAGCAAGATTTGATTGTGTTTTGTAATTATGCAACTAAAGTTGCTATCCATCTCAAAAGCAAATGCTTGTCAGTTTTGCAGCTCGTGCAAACTTAGCAATAATAATAATAATAATAATACTAATAAAATTACATAGGCGCGTCCAACCAAGCAACACAAACTGTCACAGGCCGCATCACCAGCCGTCTCCTTGCCGGCCGCGCCCACGGAGAGCGCGCTTGACCATGCTGAGTACCGCCTTGGGCACAGCGGCGACCAGCTCCCGGCCCTGCGCGCCCGCGCCGCCGCCGCGGCGCCACCACCCCCACCTGCGCCGCCGCCATCGCCGCTCCCGCTCGCCAGCAGCCGGTTCAGCCGCACCACCATCGCGTTGAGCTCGAACGAGTCGTACAGCGCGCTGCGCCGCCACCGCCCGCCGCCTCCTCTTCCGTCGACCGGCCCCGGCGGCGAGATGACGCCAACGTCGCGGTCGGCGCCGCATGGCTTCGTCGTACCCGAGGCCATCGCGCCGCCCGCCGCGCCCGCGCGCGAGCACACAGACCAAGCCCGTAATAAGCGTGAGAGCGCGGCAAATCGACAAGGGCAAAACATGGGTTTTGACGTAGCAAAAGCGTACGCCAAGTCCTAAGATGAGCTTCAAGGACAAAACAAGGAGCACACATCAAATTTGCTGGAGTAATTCTATCGCTTGATTCAATTCTCTTCTCATCTCGTTCTGGCATATTTAGGAGTACAGATTACATCAAGATTCTAAGAGAAAAGGGGAATGGTGGTTATGTCCTACACCAAGTAATTGAAGCTATCAACTTATCATACAACAAGTGTATATGACGATTTCTCATACAACAACACAACACGGGAATCTGAATATTTGCTCAGAATTCAGACACGACAGAATATCCAGATGAAGTAGGCGCATCTGCTAATCGCACTCACAAGTCCTGAATCCCATGGGATGGAGAAAACTGCTAGAAACAGAGTTGCTGTGGTTCGACAACCTGATGGCATCATTTGCCCAATAACCGGCGTCCCCGTTGGTTTGCCCCTTTAACTCTGAAGTTCAGTTCATCAACATCATCACCGAAAGCATCCAGTGATTTATTTTGCCTGCAGCAAAATGATAACTCCATCAAATTTTATGAACAGTGAAGTGAACAGCTGAAATGGGCAATCTCTTCTATAACATTTTTAACAAATATTTGAAAGAAGTATTACCTTTCAATTTCTGTGCCCATATCCAATGCCATACCCTTCAGCTCTCCCAACATGTTACTCAAGTCTGAGAGCGCATCATCCTGCTTTGCTATCTCAACCTAAAAGAAGAAAGTGGTGTAAACTTCCAGAACAAATTACTCATTCTACAATTCATGGTTAGATGGGAATGCAGACCTGAACTTTCTCGATTGCAGTTGCAGGTGAACGATGTACTTGATTTGGAGATGGCTGACGTGTTGAGGAAATACCTAGCCTCTGCCTCTGTTCCATGTGGTTCGCTGAACTTGTGAAAGAATTATCTGCCATAACTCAAATGGATCAGTTAAGCAAAAAAAAAAGAGAGTCCCAGAAATTAGTCAGAATCTAAACCATCATACTTTGTGAAATCGGTCCTTTTATCTGTTGGTTTCTCTTTGGCTTCCATGTCTTGGAAAACAGCCCCCCTAGACTTCCCAAAAGCTTCTCACTCTGAAGAGACCATAAATTTGGATTTCAGATTTTTTTTTTCTGATGAGATTAAGAACAAGGCAAAGAATCTCTATAACTTCAGAAATAAAATACATCATGTAATTTATATCTTAAAAACAAGCCAAGCAAAACACAATTATCTAGACAAGCAAGAAAAGGAATAATAATAGTACTTAGTAAATCCTCCATGGTTTAGCCCAGCAATTGACACGACATAGAGAAACATAAACTAGAGGGGAGTTAAGATAGTGAGATAAGGATAGATATGTGCAAAACATCACATAACTTATCGTTGAGGTGCATAGAAATTTAGTCTAATGTTTGGATGAAATATTGAAATGATGACTGAAATTTAGTACTAACACATCCAAAAAGTTCTATGGAGCTTCTACCCATATTTATGAGCAATACTCATGAGAAGAAGATCAAGGATACTTGGGTTCCACAACATAACTTACCATACTAAGATCGTGTTCAATATCCGCGGCTACTCGATGAGTTCGGGTGATCTGTTCACCTTGACGATGCAAAGTAACCAGTGTTTTTGTAGCATCTTCTCTGATTGCTTCAGCGGCTCTGACACAATCATTTACTTTGCGTGATGTTTCTTCTACTTTATCAACAGCATAGTCCTCCAGCTCTTGTATAGATTGATCTGTGCGTCGCACTGGGACAGATTGTGCCCTTGACGGTCTTGAGGGCACTTCAGAATCAGAGTCAGAATCGAAGGGATTTGTCCTGTAGACAGGAGTGCCTAACGAGGTCTGTTTCTTATCCATTAATATCGGCACTGTCTTTATTCAGAAACTGGAGTTGTTTGCAGCAATCTGGTGTGGAAACAGAAGAAAAGGGAATCATCAGGAAATGTCACCTTTGTGAGGTGGTGATGCCTATTGCCTAGCATTCGTGAAAAGAAATTATACACTAGAAAAATGTGTTTAATAGAAATAATGAATGAAGGCTAAATTGCTAACCCACCATCCAGAAGAACATGTATTTACTATGGAAAAGAACAGTGAATTGAATGAGATAAATTTTATGAAAAACCACAGTTAATTGGAAAAGACAACACGTTAGCATCTTGCACACATGCTGTCATTCTTCCACATGAGCTTATCCAACAGCATACGAGGTGTAAGCAAGACGAGATTGCCAAGAATTTGCCCTAACACAAGCAATCATTTGTAATGTAAATAAGAAAAGGAACTAGTAAAAGAAGCCTAAGGCCATGACTTCTTGAACAGCAAACTACCTGGTCTGAAACCCGCAGTTCCGAAATTTTATAAAGTACGAACAGCAAACTATGACAAGCACAATGATACAGTTATAGTAAATTTCTGTGAAAAACAACTAGGGCAACAACAACATTCCAGTACCAAAAGACCTTATAGAGGCCGGATTTCTATCCATTATCTAAAAAAAAGAGTACCAAAAGTCCAATTCTGGTCGATTGACCATCATGTGCAATGCGCCAGATCGTCCAATGCCAATCTGTGGGAAAGGGCAATAACAACTTTTGAAGGTACAGATGTGCTATCTCCTACCAAAACATCCAAAGAAGTGCGTTCTTGATAACATATACCCTTCTATTGCATTTTCTCTGCTATGTAATTAGACATGAGTTGCTGAAGCATTTGAATAAAAAAAACATGGGTCATTGGGGCTCTAACCTATCAAGTTGTTGGTATCAAACTAAGGATACCTAAATCCGCACCAACCAAAGCCATCGCACGCGCGCATCAACCCTAGCACACAAGGGGATCGGGGGAGCCAGATCTGATAGATAACTCGCATATGCTTTCGTAGATACTGCCCGTGTCATCCACGGATGTAAAGAAGAACCGCAAGACGAAATCACAGCAAAAACTACAGAAGAAAACCCCTAAATCTCTCTCTCTCTCTCTCTCTCTCTCTCTCTCTCTCTCTCTCTCTCTCTCTCTCTCTCGGGGGAAACCTTACCCTTACCCCCAAGGTTGACTCCGGCGGAAGGAAGCCGGCAGCGTCGCCGCGTAGCGCGCAGGCGACCACGGCGGAGACCCCCTCGCTCTCCGGTGACGAGGACTCGGCGGCGGCGGTGGTGGCGCGAGGGGGAGGAAGGCGAGCACGCGGCGCGCGGCGGAGTCAGCGAGGATAATGTGACCGTTGGAGCCTCTCCTGACCTGGACGTGTCGTATCGTGTGCTTCATTTATGCAACTGATTCCGGGTATCAGGGTGCACATCCCAACACGGCAACGAAAAGTACATAAAATGACAGGCGGGCCCAACTATATGGGCCTTGGTCTAGCAGGCTCGTTTCCAGGCAGATGTATGGGCTTTTTATTGGGCCGGGCTATATGGGCTTTAAAATCCTTTTAGTCTGCAGATTTCTGCCATGGAGTGGAACGGTTCAGTGTCGTTCCTTAAGCTGTGTCACTCTCACACTTTGGATCTGTTTGGATGGTTCAGTTTTTCATTCAGATTTTTAGAAGATACAGTTACACATATTAGAAAATGGACTAGATGCTTAGGCCTTGTTTGGTATCTAAAACAAAAACTTTTCACCCATCACATCGAATGTTTTGACACATGTATGGAGTATTAAATGTGAAAAAAAACTAATTACATAGTTTACGTGTAAATTGCAAGACGAATCTTTTAAACCTAATTGCACCATGATTTGACAATATGGGGCTACAGTAAACATTTACCAATAATGGATTAATCAGGCTTAATAATTTTGTCTCACAGTTCCTGGCGGAATCTGCAGTTTGTTTTTTATTAGACAACGTTTAATACTTCAAATGTGTGTCCGTATATTTCAAACTTCGGAAACAAGATTTATCAGTTTTAGCTTTGAACATTGGCTTATACTTTATCCGTCTCAAAATAAATAAATCAGAGATAGAATGAGATATTTTATAATACAATAAATTTAAATATAAAATATCACGTTTTATATTAAGTTGGTTTACATTAACACTGAGGGAGCACTTGCGATACGAATCCATCCAGTCTTATGACGAGATTGGGTTGTTTCCCATTGTTGTGAATGCGAAACACAGGGCCTTGTTCGTGAAAGAGAGTAATAAAGCAGTTCGGTACACAGCTCGGCCACCTGTCGATCTGCCAGTGGCACACCCACAAACACCATCCGATCAAGTACCAGACGATTTAACGTAAGACAAATACGGGCCATTTAGAACGACTAACCAACACCTAAACACACACACACACGACGAGACGAGACTACGAGAGCGCGCTAATTAATTTATTAATCTCAGTAGTTAATTAGTAAGATCGATCACTCGAGGGTGGTGCCGTCGGCCTTGCGCACGGCGACCTTGAGCACGTGGTCGTCGGCGGCACCGCCGCGGCGGAGGTCGCCCTCGCGGAGGACGCGGAAGAAGCAGGTGTCGCCGACGGCGAGGCCGTTGTCGACGCAGAACCGGTGCCACCCGTACCGGAACGCCGTGCGCTGGCCGCGCTCCCGCCTGCTGTGCTTCAGCCTCACCGTCCATGCCTCCCCGCGCATCCGCAGCACCACCTTCTCCCGCCTCGCGTACTCGTGCGCCTCCTGGAACTCCATCGGCACGTTCTGCGCCGCCGCCGCCGACGGCCGGTGGTCGGATTGGTTAGCTACTTAGCTAGCACATGGCAATCGGCAACAAGAAATGGCAGCAAAAGAAGTGGGCACGAGCTCACCAAGTACTGCGCCTGCTTGTCTTCGAGGTTGCACTGCCGCAGCGTCACGGCGAACTGCGACAGCGCCACGTCGCCGACCCCCTCCGCCGCCGCCGTCGCCACCGCCGCCGCCGCATCACTGCTGTCGCTGCTGCTGCTGCTTCCGCTCTCTGCAGGCGGAACACACAGGTATCAGTCATGCCAGAGCGAGGGCGGCGGCGGCCGGCCGCGGCGGCGAGCAATTACGTGCCGGCGGCGTCGTGGTGGCGGCGGTAGTCGCGGCGGCACATGGTCTCGTCGAAGACGGTGACGGTGAACGCGGCGGCGCCGTCGTAGCGGAAGACGAGGAAGTGGCCGTCACGCAGGTCGTGGGCGCGGGCGAACTCCTGCCAGCCGCGGCCCAGGTACACGTCGCCGCTGACGTCGTCGTCGAACACCTTCACGTCCCACGGGCGCCGCCCCTCGCCGGCGACCCGCAGCCTCGCCTCCCGGAGCTCTCGGTCCCCAAGCTCCCTCGCGAACTTGTAAGGCAGCTTCTGCACCACCACGGATCGATCAAACACACACTAGGCTGAAGCTAGAAACCCAAGAATCAACAAAAAAAATGGTTTACCAGTTTCGTTTTGGAGGATCCGGGCAGGATGATCCTGAAGAACTCGAAGTCAGTCAAGCGAAGGTTAGCCATCTGGTCCTCCATTCTTTGGGCTAGAATTTGAAGGAGATCAGGGCAGCAAGCAGAATGGGCGAGAGCTAGAAATTCAAGAACACAAAGTGCATTTGAGTCAGATCATGAGAAAGATAACTCCAAGCAAAAACAAAAAAGAAAAGTGGTGGTACATGGTGCTGATCATCACAGAACCTTACCTTTGATTCGATGTCTCCGACGATCACGCAGTTCACTTCGTGTGATGATGCAAGATAGAAGAAAAATGTGAACTTTGCTAGGCTAGCTGGACTTGTGGGTGAAGAGAGGGGAGCTACATTGAAGAGGGGGGGTGCCCAGGAACCCGGTTTTTAGTTATAGTTCATATATTTTCACCATATATGCACCCCCTTCAATCCAAACTCAGTTACTCATATCAGTCTAAACTCGGCCTAAAGCAGAGTAAAGCAAGCAGTGACACCCCTCCCCATTTCGTTCTAGCTCCGCCCTCAATGGTCAGGTCTTTCTTCCACAAGCTCTAGCCAGTCATATTGCAACAAGTATGACTACGATATCTCTTCACCCATCCAAGCAAAAAGAAAAATGAAAAAAAAAGAACAATGCAACATCTCATCGTAGGCTTTGTTAAGGGTCCTCAACCTCGAGATGCATTTTCCATTGCCTGGCCAGAATTAGCATGACACTTTTGCCTTGCGCCACTACTGATGTGCAAATCACTTAGGATTTTTCTGTTTGGACGGAGGGAAAAATGAAACATATATATTGCATGCTGTAAAAGTATCAAGCATATGTGATTCTCTAAAAAGCACATGTTATTATTTCTTAATTTTCAGCTAACGAGTTATTAAATTCTTCTGTTATATGGTTACCTCATCTAGCATAGCCAACACGGAGAAGAGAAGGTACTCTTGCTATATTCATGCTTCATAAAATGGGTATTCAATACTCATGGGTCTAGTCTTTATGTTATTTTTTCTCTTGCGCCATTGGAGTTGAACTCCTGCTGATGGGTATCCAATGCTCATGGGTCATGGCTTGCATTCCTTAGCAAGCAGCAGCAGTACTAAAAAGACGACCCTTACTGGTAGTAGATCAAAGATGGTGATGTACACCTAATTCATTGAATATTTGCAAAAATTACACAGTTCATTCATTAGTGTGTGTTATACATTTTTTTGTCTTTTTACCAAATCAGAGTATCGGAAAAACTAATATGTACACTAGATTTACAGTTGGTCTTTTGACTAATGGGGTAATTATAAACTAAATAAAATTTCTGAAAAACTAGTTCAAATCAATGCCTTCATCCAGTGCTGTGGAACTCATCATGACATTTGAATCAATCTGTTTGTCAAATTTTTTCCTTCGGCGTGCCTCAAATTCCGTAAAGCCATCCATCTTCAACAGACAAAGAAAACAAATTATAATTGAATCAAGATTAATCAAATTACAAGAATCTGTATTAAGCTTTCATGCCACTAACTTGTTGAAACTGGTCCATCGAGATTGGATTGTCATGCAACGATATGTTCTGAAGAGCCTTGCAGTCTTTCAGTAGGTTTTGGGGAAGCTGTCAGGGAGAGTCAAAGTTCGGAGAATCTTTGCTTATTATTTTGTACGTTACAAGTTGGCAACAATGTAACCAGGATATTTCAAATCTAAATGAATAGTCATTATTCACTGACTTTGACCCTAGAGCCTCCAGGTTCAAACACAGAAGTAATCGACGAGGGAAAAGCATATTCATAAGTTCGTACCTGACGAATCTTATTCCCGTTCAATGATAGGGATTTGAGGCAAACAAGGTTACAGATTGATGAAGGCACGTCTTCAATTGAATTTCCTGAAAATGTTTTCGTGAAGGTTATCTAAGATGATGCATCGAAAACGAAAACCACGATGTGCTTTGCATTTTTTTTTTAAACAGCATATGAATGGTTGGATCATATTTGAGTTAGATGACAAAAGGTATCTAAAAATGGTTCTGGCATGCCTTTCCCAATGGAATATCAGGTGGTATAGCATACGAGATAGGAAAGTACGACGGCACAGAGCACTCATGTTTGTGTGTGTGTGTGTGTGTGTGTGTGTGGCAGCAGTATAGCATTAACATGGATGCATGTGAACAGGGTGCAGAGAAAATTGAAATGATATAAATGCTACCATTGCAAAAAACTGATGGACTTACCATTTGCCTGCAATTCTTCCAGGGAACTGCAACCTCCAATTGATTCAGGAAGTGCAATTAGTTTGTTGTCAGATACATTGAGTAGCAACATCTGCATCAGGAAAAAAAAAAGGTTGAAAAAACAGTGATGAGCACAGCATAGTCTCCATTATTAAAACAAGTTTAAAATACTTACTAGTAAAGAAGAAACTTTACGGAATGTAACAAGCTGCGTAAATTTCATATGAGGAAATATAGAATCAAGAGTTTATTTGATTCTGAAGAGGAAAATAAAAAGAAGGAACAGCTTGTAACTCTGAAGGCATTCATGCTATACCAAAAAAAAGTTTTGAGAAGACAAAAAAATATTTTGTGCCTAGAAAAGTTGCTTTTCAAAGATATATAAAATTTAACATCTTGAATCGAATAAGAAACTTACATTGCGCAAATCTCCTACACTCTTAGGCAGGCGTGATAAAGAATTCTGAGAAATAGAGAGTTGTTGAAGATTTGATAGAGAACCCACTGGATAGAATGGAAGAAACAAGTTAGGACTTAGACGTGGGAAATTGTGAAGTGTAATATTGCAAAAGTCAATAAATCTCTACTAACTTGTTGCTAGGATTAAGAATATACACGTGGACAAATGATAAATATTATCTAAACATATAAATAAAGATAGCATTAGGTTTTTATGAACTAACATTCTTCAGGTAAGACAGAGATCTTATTTCTGTCAAGTGTGAGGATTTTAAGATTCCGCAGATATCCAATGTTAGCTGGGATGCTTTCAACCAAATTACCAGCCAAAACCTACAGGAACAGAAAAGAAATAGTAAACTTAAATGTCAAGCAAAGAAGAACCACTCTTAAAAATACATGTCTCTAGTAACTTGGTAAGATGAACCAAATCATGATTTCTATTAACATTAACTCTTACAAGTCTTTGCATATTCACGAGTGTGCCAACTTCCTGGGGAATCTCAGCTGCAACATAAAATATATATTTAATTGATATTTCTCAAGATATAGAAACATCTAAATACAGTGTGTGCAGTTCAATTGGATTTTTTTTCTACCCAAACTGTCAAAGAAACCCTGCAAGGTAAAAAAAATAACTTGTCGAATTGTTGCTGACTTGCTTCAAGTATATGCATTTGTTAGTGATGCCAAGTGAAAAAAAAGGGGTGTGCATAATTTTTTTCCTCCCATCTGATACTGATGTGCATAATAAAAGAAAGAAAGAAGCAATGAACGACTCCAAACTAGTTTCTTCCTGACAATATATGAGAAAAAAAAAGAGAGAAAATATTGATACTAGCATTGCAGAACTTCTAAGTATCCAGGGGTCATGGTCTAAAGTCCAAATACCTATCTTATTGTTAGTCAAATCCAGAATCCTCAGGGAATTCCCTACTTGTAGAACTTCATTTGGTACTACCTGCATGGTAACATTGACATTTAACAATTTTGGAAGAAAAGTTCAATTTCACAGTAAAAGAACCTTGTGTCTTCGTTCTTCGAAGAAAATTAAATATAAATTGGCATTGACTTGCAGGATAAATATATATTTTAGATGAGATAGTAGAACATATCACATACTGATATGAGGACAAACAAATGAATGAGAACTAACGCCAATATTAAAATGCACCTCTATCTTCTGGACATGGAACAAAGCACTAAAATCTTACAATCTGGTGAGTGTTTATTAAATATTTAGTCGCAAAAAGTACTTCCCATGCTAATTAAGAATTTAATTATTGATAGGCAGTAGCTCCATTATGCAAATAGAGGAGAAAGTACAGCAGTTGTTTTAGAGAGAGAGAATAAAGGGTAAGTATAAAGTGTGGAAGTGCCATGGGCAAAAAGTTTTTAACCATCAGCATTCCCTGAAACTACAGTGAAAAAGAATTGGCCAAGTTAACCCATCAGGCCATCACCATTCACCAATCACCACATATGATTACATACTTGTAACGGCAAGATTGTGCCTTTCCTTCAGACCTCCACCTAGCAATCCCATAGGATTAAAACACCCGCAAGCAATCCAAAAATCACACCTTTGCTTAACCTAACGCCTATGTGGCAGTAGACCCCTTCGGCTGATTAACAGAAATCCTAGGATGCATCATCATATTTGTCGTGTCATCGTGTACCCGAATCACTAAGCATCAGATGATAAGAACTCGGGAGCACCGAAATTCCTCCACGCCCCAACTAGCAGACTAGACAGAATCCCCAATGGTACTAAATTTACAGGAAAAATCAATCAACAGGAACCTTCAATCTGGCGTCGCGGAGGGCGACGATCCCGGTGGAGCGCCAGCGCGTGACGCGGCTGGCCGGCGAGTCCGCGCTCCGGCTGCTGCAGCAGCCCATCTCGCCGCCAAACTCGCTCGCTCGCGGCGCTCTCTCCCCTTCGAATTCGACGCGGGGAGGAGATTTTTTTTTTTGTTCGCAGGGAGGAAGAAGAGCTTGGTCGTCTCGTCGACTTTGGTGGGATCTGTACTACTCGTCCTCTCACTGCTCGGTGGGGCCCAGCTGTCTGTCTCTACTCACCGCCTCACCGGACGGTGGCGGCCGTTTTCTGTTGCGTAAAAGCAGGCTGTACAGTTGGACAGTTGGACGACCACGGGAGAAATCGGCCAAATGTTCGACGTTTAAAGGATAAGATTGGTTTTAATAATTTTTATAACTTTGTCCCACAATTTTACATCAGACATGTTCATAAATTCTAACGAGTTTACGATCTTATGATAGTACTTTTCTAAAAAAGGAAATCTACGGATAGAGATTTTCAAAACCAAACGGTTTGAGAAATTATTAATAGTTAAAATTTTAAGGTTTGACGAGGGCGCTGTCCCGGGGGCGACGCGGGGCCCCCGCCCTTCTCCTCCTCTCCCCAGCATCGCCGTCGCCCGAGCCACCGTCGGCGAAGCCAGGCGGCTGCAAGGACGGCGGCGGCGGGGCTCCCTCTCCCTCGCTCGTGGTCAAACCGTACGGGACGCCGGCAAGACAGGAGCTCAGGCTTGGTGCCGGCGACGAGGAGAAGCGCCCGGCGGCGGCCAGATCCGGCGCCGTGGAGGCCGAATCCGGTCCTCCATGGCGGGATCTGCTCGGCGGCGGGGTTGGAAGGTGGGTCGGGGGCGGCGACGACCTGGAGTGCTCGGCGGCAGGGTTTGGCGACGGGTCCGGGGCGGCGGCGACCTGGCGTAGCTGGCGACGGGTCGTTGCCGGCGCTGGCTCCCCTAGCTGCGCACGGACGCTGTCGAGATGGCGACTGGCGGTGGGGAGGGCGACGGCAATGGCGGCGGGGAGGGCGACGGTGAAGGCAGGGGCGCGCGGCGCCTGGGCGGCGGTGGTTGACTCCACCGCGCCGGCGCCAGTTCAGCGAGCTGCCCCTCTGTGCTTCTGATTTATGTTTGTGCTCCGCAGCTGCTATCCTCGCCCTCCGCAGCCGCTGTCCTCGCCGGCCCCTCAACGCCCTCCTCGCCCTCATTTCCCTCCGTTACCACTTCCTTGCCGGTGCGGGCGAGAAGGTCTAGGAGCAGCCGCACCTGGCTTCGGTGACCTGCTCGGCAGGCTAGCCAGCTACCTTGGCATATGCAAGCCTGCAGTTTGGGCTTGGGGAGAGAGGGCGAAAGCCGTGCACACCCCCGGTTGTGCGATCGACGGCGACGCCTTTTGGTGCCGTATACCTCCCTGGAGGCGTTGATTTTAGTCTCCCCAACCAAACCTGCAACCATTTGCCCGATGCTCTTTTCGTCGATGGTGGCGTCCGTGGATGTCACTTTCCTTGCTGAAGGCATCGACGCAAGCGTGCCCCCTCCTGCTTCGCCCTTTTGCTCTCCAAGCTTCTAATCTTGTGCCAATTCCCGTTGTCTCCCATTGATGTCCTTCTTCCTTGTGGAATTCCTGTCCTCAGCCATCCCCCTTTATGTCCAACTCCCTGTTCATCTCCATCCATTCCTTGGGATGTCCTCTATCACATTGCTTCGCTGCCTTCCCTCTTTTGAGGCTTCCTTCCCTTAATGGATGTTGGAAGGCGTGAAGCCAACAAGCAATTCGTTTTAGCCTGATCAAAGACGACTCCATGTAGGCGGCTCTAGGCCGCAACCTTCAGTGCCTCTCCCCCTCTGGGGCTTCCTTCCCCCAAAGGGCGTTGGCGGGCACTGTTCTAGCTGCAACAAGAAAATGTTTGGATTCTTGAAGGCTTCATGCGGGTGGTCTAGTACTTCCATAGCCTTTTGGTCACCACTTTCCCCTGCCGGCATGCTCGTGGCACTCTGCCCTTTGGCGCGGCGTTCTGGATTCCAAGGCTGCTTGAGGATTTGTTTGTTGTTGATCTAGGAAGTTAGCTTTTAGGCGGTTATGGTTTGTGGCTGGGTGATTTTGCAGGAAAACCGTCTTTGGTTTCCTCGGAGGGCCACCTTTTCTCTCTGTTGTTTTTCTCTTCTTTGTGTTTCCCTGTGTATCCTCTGCTACTATCCTCCAGGGCACCTGCGCTTGTGTAGGCCGAGCCTGCCCTGTGTAATTTCGTTTGACTTAATATATTCAGGTGGGGAAACTCGCCCCCCTCCTCCCGGTGATTCAGTCAAAAAAAGGTTTGATTAAATCTTACTCCAAACATCAAATATTTATTACGAAGAAAGAGAGAGAGTGTGTGTGCGCTATTTGAAAAGAAATTGTTCCCTCCATTTTATATTATAAATCGTTTGATTTTTCCTTAATTAAACTTTATTAAGTTTAATCAATTTTATAAAAAAAATAACATCATCTAAAGTATACTCCCTCCGTCCCAGAATATAAGAAGTTTTATAGTTGTACGCGGTTATTAAGAAAATGTATAGAAGTGAATGGTGGAGCGTTGTGATTGGATGGGTAATGAAGGTATGTGGGAAAATTGAATGGTGAAGGGTTATGATTGGTTGGGAAGAGAATATCGATGGAGAAGTTGTTATATTTTAGAAGAAATCCTGATGGTTAAATGTTGTTATATTTTAAGACAGAGGGAATACCAAATTAGTTTCATTAAAGAGAAAATCTACTATATGCCACTGAGTTTGTCTCAATTCAACGATTTGCCATCAACATTGTCTATTTCTATAATATACTGGTGACTTTACCAATTGTTCTACAATATGCCACTAGTCTATACATTTTTTTATAAAATGCCCAAAATACCCTTAAAGACATACTATGTTAACAATTGTTTTTATCTCATTAGAAGTTTCAAAAAAATATGAAATTTTTTGTGTTGCCTTTTTATACAACATGGAGGTTTGTATATAAGTTTCATGTTTTTTTTTTGATATTTTTATTTTCTAAAACAATATATTTTTGTGTAGAATTAAAGAGAGAAATTACTTACACAAAAGATAATAGCATAAAAATAACTTATATAGCATATCAAAGATGATTTATATTAAAAATAACAACACAAAAAAGTATTTTATATAGCATATAACTGATAATTTATATTACAAAAAAAATATAAATGAAAAAAATCTTAAAACTTGTATTACAAACTTTCATATCGTGTAAGGAGGCCAAATAAAAAATTTCATATTTTTTCCAAACTTCTAATGAGATAAATCAATTGTTAACATTATATGATTATAAGGGTATTTTAGGTATTTTTGAAAAAGATCTCCAGCCCAATGGCGTATTGTAGACTAATTGGTAAAGTCGCCGGTATATTGTAGAATGAAATAATGTCAGTGGCATATTGTTGAACTGGGATAAACTCAGTGGTGTACACTATATTCTCTCTTCATTAAACCTCACATTGAATATATTTGTTTATGTTGAAAATACTACTATTATGCTTTTTTTTTATAAATTGGAGAGTTTGATCTAGAAAAAAAAAGTCAAACATCTTGAAATATGAAACGAAATAAGTAGTCATCAATTTAAGCCCGATATACACTCGTTTGGTAATCGGTCCAAATTTTTAGTTATGAAACATTTTAACATTTCAGTTTGTGATTCATATGGTTTCATACTTCCTTCACGTTCCGTGGATCCGCCGCCATCTCCCGGCGCCGCACATCCTCCAGCAGCGCGCCGACGGCGTCGTACGACGACCCGCCCACCTCGACGGCGCGGCGCGCGCGCTCGCCGACCTCCTCCGCCCGCCGCCGCATCGCCTCGTCAGCCATGGCGGCGCGCACCCTCTCCGCCACCTTCTCCCTGCACACCACCACCCCGCCGGACTCCTCGCCTCCCCACACGTACCCCCTCTCCGCGCCGACGCCGGCGCCCGTGCCGGCGAGCCCGACCACCAGCGCCTCGTTGTAGAACTGCTCCGCGAACACCGGCCACGCCAGCACCGGCACCCCGGCCGCCGCCGCCTCCGTCACCGCGCCCCACCCGCAGTGCGTCACGAACGCGCCCACCGCCGCGTGCCTCAGCACCGCCACCTGCGGCGCCCACCCCGCGATCACGTGGCCGCGGCCGGACGACACGGCGGCGTGCACGACGTCCGGGAGCAGCGGCGCCGCCGACGCGTTCTTGCCCCCGACGACCCACACGAAGTTCACGCCGGAGCCCGCGAGCCCCGCGCCGAGCTCCGCGACCTGCTCGTCCGGGAACCGGGTGAGGCTGCCGAAGCAGACGTACACCACCGACCGCGCGGGCTTCGCGTCGAGCCACGCCAGCGCGCGCGCGGCGTCCGTGGCGGCGCACGGTTCCCCGCCGCGCCCGCGCTCCATGACGTCGTCGCCGTCGCCGTTGACGAGGCAGACCGGCCCGACGGCGAACACGGGCTTCCCCGTCTCCTTCTCGTAGTGCTCGATGTACCTCTGCTCTAGGTCGGCGAAGGAGTTGACCACCCACCCCGTCGTGGCGCGCTCGCCGTCGAACATTCGGTTCAAGAACTCCCGCGAGTGCGCGCCGGGGAGGGTCGCCTCGGCGAGCCTCGACTTGGTGAGCCGCACCGCGTCGGGGAGGCCCGGCACGAGGAACGGCTCGTCGTCCGACGCGACGCCGTCCTGCGGGGCGTGGAGCAGCAGTGCTCGCTGCACCGAGAGCGCGAAGCACCCCGTCCCCGTGAACGCGTACCGCGGGACGCGGAGCTCGGCCGCCGCGGTGGCAGCCCACGGGAGGACGCCGTCGAACACCACGGCGTCGGCGGGTCTGCGCCGCAGGAGGTCGGCGAAGAGCGGCGCGAGGAGGTCGACGGCGACGGCGAAGGGCCCCGCGAGCTCGCGGCTGGGGAGGTCGTCGGCGCTCTCGTGGCCGCCCGTGAGCCCCGCGGCCTCGGCGGGCAGGGCGAGCGCGTGGACGCGGATCCGTGATCCCGCGGCGGCGGCGCGGGCGACGGCGCCGCCGAGCCTGGCGGCGTTGGCGCGCGTGAGGACGAGCGTCGCGTCGGCGCCGCGGGACGCGAAGAGGCGCGCGAGGTCGCACATCGGCAGCGCGTGCCCCGGCGTCGGGAACGGGATGAAGTACACGCGCGGTGCCGCATTCTCTGGCGACTGCATGGCGGCACCGACCCGCTCGGCTGCCGGCGGCGAGGGAGGTGGTGGCGACGGCGAGGTGTGGTCTTGGCCAGGATGGGGGGTATATAATAGACTTCTTGTACAGACAAAGAAGGTGCGCCACGAGAGCGCGGGAAACGCGATTTTCACGTAGGCTTTGCAGTACGAGTTTGTCTCCGAATGAGTTAACCGTTTTATTAGCCTTTTTATCTTTTAGGCAGTTAATTAAGCTACTACTAAGCTAGTGAATTCGTTAAACAACATGACATGCTTATGGCATTTCTTGGCTAAGTTGGCTCGTACCGACAGGTAACAGCACGAAAGGGTTGTATCCTGCTCTAGCCTTCTGTTAAGCTTTTGCCATGATCAAAGATTCAAAGGTAGCTTCAGTATTCAAGTAACGGTTTTGCTATGATCCATCGTTTAGGCATCCCCTAGCTAAAACCACCCAACCAATTAGTACAAACTCACTCTAGATTACATCCTCTTGTGGCGGCATCCTAACTAGTCTCTACAAGCTGGCCATGTCGGAGGGCCTAAGGGGAGAGGAGTTCCATTCTTCTCTCTCACCCTCTCTCCTTAACTCCTGAATACTTGGATAGAGCGGGGCTTTGTGTTGATTGTAAGAGTTGGGTTTTGGGCGATCCCGACCGTGTTTTCTTTGTTGGCCTAGCGGAGGTCGGCCACGGTTAGTGGTGGCCGGTCCGGTGCTAGCCTTCTCCTTGTTCAGTGTTTTGGCGTTGTCGGTGTGTGGGTGGTGGTATATTTTTCCCTTTTTCCTAGTTACAACTTCCAGGGTTGTAATCTTATAATTTTTCTTCTGCTCTATCAATAGAACTTCGCACCGTCTTATGCGAGTCGTTCAAAAAATATTATAACTTGTATGTAATTATAATATAATATGTATGTAACTTTTTATGTATTTTTAATCTGTTATATTTACTTTAAGACTCTGCAAGCGGGAAAGGAAAAAATCATAGCGCAACCACGGGTGATGCAATTTGGTCACGTGTACTCCTTTAGTGGAAATAATGTGTTAAACAAATTATATTATAGTTATGTGTAAGTTACACTATAATTATATTACAATTTTAATATTTACATTGGTAATCCCTTTCAATAATACTTTGCTATACCTGGATGAGTTAACGTTTTTATGTAATCAATTAATTTAAGTTGTTAAGCAGCAGGACATGCCTAACGCATTTCTTGGCTCTTACCAACAACATGAGAAGGGTTGCGTTCTGCTATAGCATTCTGTTAGCGTTTGCAATGATCAAAGCCAGCTTCAGTATTTCATCAACGCTGTTTGATTACATTTCCAAACAGTTGTAGTACTGATCACTTTTGCTACAGATCACACTCTCTATATTTCAGTTACTACCTTAGTTTTTTAAATACTTGATACCATTAACTTTCTGACAAATGTTTGACCATTTGTCTTAGTTAAATTTTTTATGTAAATATAAAAAAATATGCCACACTTAAAAAACATTTTAGCATAAATCAAGTCGCAATAAAATGAATAATAATTACATAAACTTTTTAATATGACAAATGATTATACGTATCTAAAACAACAACAACATTACATATTAAAAAAGGGAGGAAATATGTGACTAGATAAATTCAGTAGATTCAGAAAACCTTTTGCTGCAACGAAAAAAAAAAAAGCTAGGTGCGAATTGTGGTGGGCCTATGCCCCTCGAGTCGGCTTCGGGTGGCCCGGCCGGCCGGAGATAGCGAAGCTGGCCTGCTCGTTAGCCCGCCCCCAATGCGGCCCACGTAAATCCTGACAATCGCGACAGATAACCGTTTTCACGTTAACTAGGTCAAAAGTTAAACAAACCGTTGACAAACCATACTTTACAATAATGTCAAAATGTTCAATACAAACTCATGATTATCTGTAGTACGCTGTACACATTAGTCGTTGTTACCTTGCGAGATCAACCGTCTTCCAAGAGTTGCCTGTGCAAATTTGACGTGCTCGCTAGTCGCTAGTTGCCCGTCCATGTGCTAATAAAAAGAGAAAATTCCCTATATACCCCTGAAAATTTACTCAATCCCTTCAATACCCCTGAATTTGACATTATCCCTTATATACCCCTGAGTTTTCATTTTGATCTCCTCTATACCCATCTCCGTTAGTTGACCATTAGTTGACCGTTAAATATTTTAAAATGACTATATTACCCATCCTATACATATGTGTGGTACCTACCCAATAAATTTTCATATGAAAAATAAACTTATACAAAATACAAGCAATATAATCATTTAATGCCCAACTTAAAAAATAAAACTTATTATTTTTTATTTTTTAAAAATTATGATTAAATCCATACATTAGTTTCACCAGAAAATTAAGAGCAAAAACTAAATGTTATTTAGGTTTAAATTTTTGGGAAGATATACGAAATTCATCAAATTTGATCTGAAATTTATTTAAAAATTTTAAATTTGTTTTCTAATTTGTGATAAACTAATTATATCCCCTTTGTTTTTTCACAACGAATCTTTTTTCACTAAATATTTGTTGAAAAGTAATTTTCAAATCTTATGCAGAACTTTTTTTTACAATAAATCTTTTTTTATTTTAATGAAATAATGTTTTATTTTCAAAAATTCATAACAAATATTTAGTAATTTATTCCTTATTGGTTTTCACAACTCAAAAAATTTACACATAAAACATTTCTAGCTTTTAACAATATAACAAGGACAATAAAGTAATTTCTACAATAACTAACGGTCAAACTAATGGTCAACTAACGGAATGGGTATGTAAGGGATCCAAATAAAAACTCAGGGGTATATAAGATATCAAACAAATTTCAGGGGCGTAGAAGGGATTGGGTGAAATTATATGGGCATATAGGGAATTGGCCCTAATAAAAAAGAAATTGGTGCGGTCTTTGGCACGTTAGCTAGTTAGCCCGTCCCATACTGTATACATATGAATATGTACATGGATTCGTGTATGAATCTATCGACAATCTAAAACGTCGTATAATGTGAAACAGATGAAGTATTTAACAGAGCTTATTAATAATACTTTTGTTATCGTTTTCCTTTTAGATAATTTTATTTTCATTTTATTTTTTTAGGAAACACAATTTTATTTTCTAGTGTAACTTACAGCACATAGTATTTACCTCAAGATTTACAATATCCACATATTGTGGTGAGATTTATTGTATTTGAAAAAAAATGATAATAGTTTCCACTCTAAATTTTTATTTAAAAGTATAAATGAAGCACACAAGTAAATTGGTGTATGATTAGATTAACATGTTAAATGTATATGAGACTGTTTAGTAGAATTCCAACACATAAATTTAGCTTTAGGAGTTAGATCTAAAGCAGAGTTGTGGAACAGCTTAAATCCAGCTCCACCTCTATAGTTCAGCCTTGTTTGGCACCGTTTCAGCTCTGGAGCCCAGCCAAACAATTTAAACTCTAGCTAAAATGGGAGCGGAGCTGGGTGGAGCACTCTCACAAAATGAACTGAGAAGTGGAGCTAGGTTTCGACTGCTCCACAACTCCACTCTAAACCCACATTATAAAGCTAAATTTAGGGGTTAGAGCTCTACCACATACCTACTCCCTCCGTCTAAAAAAAAAGACAAACCCTGAGTTTCCGTGCCCAACGTTTGACCATCAGTCTTATTTGAAAAAAATTATGAAAAAATTAAAAAGACAAGTCACGCATAAAGAATTAATCATGCTTTATCTTCTAACAACAATAAAAATATTAATTATAAAAAAATTCATATAATACAGACAGTCAAACGTTACATGAAAAGTCATGGTTTATTTTTTTTCGATGGATGGAGTAAAATACTGTATTCCGCTCCGGTTCGGCGACACTCCACGTTCCAGTCGTCGCAGTCCCGGTGCGCGGCGCCCAACCGGCCAACCCACCGACGCGGCAGGCAGCGAGTCAGTGTGCGTGCGGCTGTGCGGGGGGAGTGCGAGTGCCCATCCGCCCACTCCACTCCACTCCACTCCCCTCTCCCGCACTTCCATCCCCAACCCCGCCCCCGCCGCGGCGCCACCTTCCCCCTCTCCTCTTCTCTCTCTCTCTCTCTCATATGGTCTCCCGCGGCGCGCCCCGCTACTGTCCATCCTAGCGCGGAGCCGCAGCTTCCCCACACGTCCATGGCCGCCGCCGCCGCCGCCCCCCGGTTCTTGCCCGTCCGCCCGCTCTTTCTCCTCCTCCTCCTCCTCGTCCTGGCCGGCGTCGCAAGCGGCAAGACGGTCAAGAGGGACGGTACGTAGCTGGCTGCTCCGCTCATCCTTCTCTGCACTTCTTTTTTTTTTCTTTCCCCCCCGTGAATTGAGCGAGTGATACTGGTCTCGTGATGCGCGATTCCGCGACATGGAATTTGGGAAAGATTTGGTTTCTTTGGCCGTTCCCTGCTGGAGATCTGACCATCTGGTGCCTTGCATTCTTTTATGCTCATGGCTGTGAATTGGGCACCTGCTCGATCGGTTAGCTGCCTCATTTGGGGTGTGTAGCATTGGGATCTGTTGTTGGCTTGTGTCTTAGATGTCTAAATTACTCTGTGATTGTATACATGTGACTATCTAGTTTTGCCATTTCCTAGCTGTATACTAATTAGGCTCCACACTGACTGACACTGCATCAGGTGGAGAGGTTTATCTCTTCATAGAGACATGGATATTAGTCTGACTTAACAATGTTTGGCGGCCATTGAGTAATTTCATGGTTCGTAGAATGTTGGAACCGACTGAAAGAAAACAATTTTTTATGCTGCAGTGAAAGCATTGAATGAGATCAAATCTTCGTTAGGATGGAGAGTTGTCTACTCATGGGTTGGTGATGACCCTTGCGGGCATGGTGATCTGCCCCCCTGGTCTGGTGTGACCTGTTCTCAGCAAGGAGATTACAGAGTTGTCACCGAACTGTAAGAAACACGTCTTCAATTTCTTGATCTTAAAATTTTCTGCTGACATACATAAGGATCTGTAAGGATTTTTAGATTGTTATGTATTGCCTTTTCTATGTGAAAGAATACAAATCTGCTCGTAGATTGATTGTTTCCGAGTGGGGAAAAACATTTGTCACTTATGGTCTCCAAGGTCAAAACTTTTGTCTTGCTTGGCTGCTCCAACATCCGAAACACTCTTTTACTCCCTAGTTAATTAAAAGTGCAATGATATTTCTTGCTTGCTGATTTGATGTGGAAACTAGCTGATTAAGTCCTTTATCTTCATGCTGTAGCTGTCTGAGGAATCTTAGTAAAAGGCTCAAAGCTACACAAAATTCATAATTTTAATAGTTTCTTGCTGAGTCTTAAATATGCAACCTCAACCTGAAGAACTGTACCTGACCACGCTTTCTTGTGTATGCCAGATATAAAGCTTTGGTGTATGAGGCCATAAAATGGATTAGAAAATCCTCTTACATGATGCCATTTCGTTCCTTAAATTTCTTTTCTGTAAATGCTTTGAAATAGTTGGCAAGAATAATTCTTAACTGTTCTAATACCAATGGCTGCTGCATATGGATCTCAACTCTATTAACCGCAAAATCATGCAACTTATGTTAAGCTATATTATATGTTTGTTGATGTACAAATCTGAGTAACTATATTGCTTATCTTATTTCAGTGAAGTCTATGCTGTATCAATAGTCGGTCCTTTCCCTACAGCAGTTACAAACCTTTTGGATTTAAAAAGATTGTAAGTATGTTTTCCTTGTCACCACTGCTTTGTTCCCGTATTATGTACAATTATCTTGAGGTGCATGTGTTGGTACTTTGTAATTATTTGGTGCAACCTGAGTGGAGTTAATGTTATTGTCTAATTAGTTACCTTCTTTGCAACGATAATAAATTATACGTTTCTGGTCTTTTAGAGTTTTAGTACAACCATCAGCGAAATTACAATAGAACACATCTGTGCAGATGTATGCGCTCTTGTAAATTTATGTTTCCATGTAATAGGCTGTGTCATGAAAAATGGATTTAGAGAGAACATTAGCCATAATAGAAGAATTAATTTATTCTTTAAATCACTTCAGCTTATAAAATATGGAGCTTTTATATTGCTTGAGTTGCAGAATTCTATGTACAAACAGTTTCTTCCATTTGCATATTGCAGCGGATATATTTGAGTAGTATTTTATTTTCCCAAAAAAACTATACAGGACCAATTCTTCTATAAAACAAGTACCTTAAAGGGTGTAAGTATCTTTGTAATTTGACCATATCTTGCATATTTAAGCAATCCTTTAAACCATGTGAATAATGACTACTCCAACTACAGGGATCTACACAATAACAAGTTGACAGGGCCCATTCCCCCACAGATTGGACGGCTGAAACACCTCAGGATATTGTAAGTATGGATTGTCTTTGTGTATGCAGAGCTAGATTAAGATATGCTTGTCATCCTGAGAATAGATACTGGCTCTGGAAAACATTTTAATTTGTGATGCATAAACCATACTTGTTTATGCTCTTTATTCCTCAGCCTCAGATAATACTTTATTGAATCAATATTACTATGTTGGTTATTGGCTAGATAGCTGCCTGTTCTTGAGTACAGATTCTATTCAGCTAATCAAATTGTCTCATGTTCTTAGGAACCTGAGGTGGAACAAGCTTCAGGATGTGCTCCCACCTGAAATTGGTGAACTGAAGAAACTGACACATTTGTAAGTTCTTTTTCTTTTTGGAATTCTTGAGTTTATATGGAAATAATACTTCATTTTTTGTGCCTCTAATTGCCATTGAAAATATGCAGATATTTGAGCTTCAATAACTTCAAAGGTGAAATTCCTGTGGAGCTTGCAAACCTACCAGAACTGCGCTATCTGTATCTTCATGAGAACCGCTTTACTGGGAGGATCCCTCCTGAACTTGGAACTCTCAAGAACCTTCGTCACCTGTAAACATCCATCCCAGATCCTTTTACTGCCCCCCAACTATTGACATGCTTGTCTATTGAGTTGTCTTACTGAATGCTGAATTCCATTTTTGCAGGGATGTTGGTAACAACCACTTGATAGGCACCCTCAGGGATTTAATTGGCAATGGGAATGGTTTCCCCTCCCTCAGAAATCTGTAAGCAGATTTTTTACAAGCTACCATATCCATTCCTTCTCTCCTGAATGGCAAATGCTGTCTTCCTAAGCTTACTGTAAACTGTGTTCTACAGGTATCTTAACAATAATGATTTGACTGGCGTTCTGCCAGACCAGATTGCAAATTTGACAAACCTCGAGATACTGTAAGTTTTCTTAAACTTTGCTGTCAACACTGTATCAAGACCCTGTAACCATCACGTCATTCTTTTACATATGTATACTCTGCAGGCACTTGTCTAATAATAGGCTGATTGGATCGATATCACCAAAGCTAGTTCATATTCCAAGATTGACCTATTTGTGAGCTTTACTGCTTCGATTTCTATATTTATGTAAAGTGAAATATTTGATCAGCTTGGGTCTGATATGTCATATGTCTCATTTTACAATGGTTTTACAGATACTTGGACAATAACAACTTCATTGGGAGGATTCCTGAAGGATTATACAAACATCCATTTTTGAAGGAGCTGTAAGCTGGCTTTAGAATTTCTACTCTCACGACATTATTATTTCATACTTGAATCTGCTCTGTTTTAGGTTTACTTAGGCGCACACTTTTTTTTTTTTTTGATGCAGGTACATTGAAGGAAACCAATTTAGACCAGGAAGCAAATCAAAAGGAACGCACAAGGTGCTTGAATTACCTGATGCTGACATCTTAGTTTAACAACTGTTTATTCTGTGACGATAGCAGAGCGGCTACCGTTCTACATCTCCTCAGCATGCACCAACAAAAATGTATGCATGTTTTTAGGATATATACGATATATGTATCAGTAGTACAGACACTGTTTCTCACAGCACTGTTCGAGGACAAGTTCACACACACAAAAGGCCACTTGCAAACCAGAAAAAGAAAAAAAAATTGTAAAGTCCAGAGCACTGCTGCTATCCTGTCATCCAAGAGTATGTTTTCATTAGATGAGTGTACAGGTTGTATTGCATTTCTTGTAACTTAGTACTACTGTGTAATGGAGATGCAGTTCAGCTGTATTGCCAGCACATTTGCATGGCACCGACAGTCCTGGTGTAATGTAACCAGTGTGCTCAATGATATTTTTTCTTATACCACTGGACATGATCTGGCCTTTTGGAAGCAAATTTAGGGCCATGACTAATCGAAATCATAGGCATGTGGGGAGGAGAATATGCCAATAATAACAGGCTGGATCTGCCTATACGAGGGAGCACTCTTATTATGAGCTAATGCTCTTGAACCCTTTCAATTTCATATCTACAGAAAAAAAAGCCAGAAAATAAATGTTTTTTTAAAAACAATTTTACAAGAGATTAATTATATATAAAAAAGAATTGGGCCATGCACTCATGATGAGGAAAAAAAACTGAAGTGAAATCTAGGAAAAATTGTGTGGTGTAGGAGTACAAACTAGCAGTCTAGTACCATGTCATCTCCAGGCGCCTCCAGTGCAGAAAAAAAAAACTGACATGTTTATAAGCTCAGTTTGATTGGATGAGTGTTGCAGTAAGGAATACTGTCAAGGGCACATGCATTTCTTACACCATTTAGCATGACACCTCTGCTGGGATGAGTGGTCCATACTGCATCTGGTACCTCTGCTCCCTTTCAAGCTCATACTATGATGCTTTTTCAAGGGTTATGTTGTTGCTAGTAAATAAAGGATATGAAATAGGTTTGATGAAATGTAAAATACTTGTCCTGATTGATGTCACCAATGTAGCATGGTTAGATTGTGCTGCCACCCTATCCAATACCTTGGTACATGATGCCAAATATTTGCTGCATTGCTGGAACCAATGTACTGCCAATGTAAATCTAACACTGTTATTTTGTACCCTATGAAAAGTTCCTGTCCTGTTCTCTGAATTGCTGTGTGTTTAGCCCCGGCACTCTTGATCTGTTTGCCACAAGCAAAGTTTTTCTTTTCTTTTCTCTTCAGTTCTTCTCCCCACATGAAGTGTCACTGTCCAGTGTCCACCCCCAAAATGGTCCTTGTTTGTGCTATTTTGCTGTTCCCATGTAAGCAAAGCCTGTGCTATATTTTGCTGGATCATATGAGCTACTCCCATGGAGTAGTATATTTCAGACTTGGAGATGTCCTAGTCTCCCATGCTTCCAAGCACATCTGCACATGGAGAAACATTCACCACCTATGATTAAAAAGGGCAAGAACTCACTGAAGACAAATGCTTCATGAGCAAAGTGAAATTTTCTGTTTCAAAATATGAACAAATAGCTAAGCCATGTTCATACCACAGTGCCAGAGGCTTGTGACACATCCTGCATTCTTCAGATGCTGCCCTCAGGCATGTGGCCCATCTAATGACTAGCGGCTCAATCATACTTTGCAGGATAGTCAATTGTGCAGGCTTTTACACTGGTTTTGCAAGATGTTCAGTACTTGCAAAATGAACAGTTACTTGATGTTGCATGATTGAATCTTGAAAGAGAAAAATATGTGATTATATGATTATGTATCCATGGATCATATCTAATTGCAAGGTTCAGGAAAATCTCTTTTACATAAAATAGAAATTTAGAAAATTAGGGCAGTGTTGAGGTGTTAGGTTCACCGACACCGTTAGGGGGTGATGTCTGCTAAGATTTTTGTGTGGTTATGTTCCTTCCATTATAGCTGTCAATTGTCACCTTATTAAAATCTGAAGAAACACTCCCCTTTCTCCTCCTTTGCATTTTCTGAAGAAGCTGAGATATGAACAAACATGCCGACTGAATTTCACTGAATTTCTCTGCTGCTACCTGCCCATCTTTCATCCATAAAAAAAATGTAAACAGTTAAAAATACAGTAGCACTGTACCTGTTCTTGGGTGTATGATACTAAATTACTAATATAGTATAATGATTCCCATTCCTGTAGCCTGAGGAGCCTGTCATTTTTGCCACTTGTTTTTCTTTTGCCCTCTCTGCAAAGAATCAATCAGAGAACACACACATGAGTACATGGCACAAGCCAAGCTGTGCCTCTGCATGCATGGGTCACCTGGGGTGCTGGAGCATGCAGATGCAGCAGCTTTGCCACTGTTTGTTTATTTCACCAAAACACAAACCAAAAGGCATCACCAAGGCAACCAAACCAAACCCCATGGATGGTCCAAGGCTGTGAGTGAGTGAGTCCCAGCATTCATCATAATTTTGATTCTGCTCATCCGGATGTTTCTCTGAACATGACAAAATGAATGACATTTCCTTTATCTAGACCATCATCCCTTTATCTGAAGAACTCTGCTTTTTTTAATCCATTCTTGAGGTTTGGTATGGTTTGTGGAGTTGTTCAGAGAACAGCTCAAACCTGGACTCTACTGATGATGCTCTTTCCAAAATAATAATAATAATAATAATAAAACCTTTAGAGCAAAATTAGGAGGAATAATTTACATAACTCAGGAAAGAATCTATAAATGAGCTATATACAAAAAGCTCATCAATCTTCCAAGTGACCTGTGACACTGCTGCTCTATTCTATAACACCATAAGTGCTACCAAACCACCTATCACCAAAACCACCTCCACCAAACCTAACGGCCGACCTCCCCTGGGACGAAGAAGAATATTGAATTCGTTCCATTCCATGTCACTGAATTTGTGAAACACTATTTTTAAGGTTCATTGATTATCTGTTTTTTTAAAGGTTCAGTGAAAGCAATGGACCCAGAATCACTTGTTCAGTACTGAAATGTCACTACATTTGGAGCTCATTACTCAAGTGAGCAAAAGTAGAGTTGAGACCACATCAACTTGATGTTAAAAATTAAGAAGTTTTACCAAGTAAAGAAAATTAGGAACAGGTACTGTAACTGCATGTGGGGTGATGGTAGTATTATCATATAGTAGTAGCACAATTAGCAATGCTATAGTATAACAAAGAATCCAAAGGACACTGTATTTTAGGCTGCAAGCACGTGGTTAGCCAACCCCAATCTGATTAGCTAGATCTGAGTGCTCAGAAGAGGAGGAACATGCACTTTGTAGTTTGCACCAATTGAGCACTGCATTATCCCAAATATAAAATGGCAAGATATCTGCTTCAGCTTCTCTTCCTTCTTCCTTTTTTTCTCTTTCTTTTTTTTTGTTTGCTGGGAGAGCTCATGAGAGGATGGCATGGCAGCATGTAGATGAAGACATGCAAGTCACCTAGATGCCACTTCTTTAAAAAGGTTAGGTGGTCACTAACTTGGACACCACTCCTTCAGTGAGCAAAGGGGAGAATTAAGTAAATAATCAGCACTAGAATTCACTCAATTATCTCATGTGTTCTTACTTCGTACTACACATTTTGATAATATTTTCAGCAAGATATGATAGACCACCTATACTTTTGTCACTGACAAATAGCCATTTGATTTTTTTCCCCGGGAAAAAACTTTTTTTTGAAAGATCATGAAAAGACCATTTTCAACATTTATTCTGGTCTCTTACTACCTTTGTATTTAAATATATGATACTGTTGATTTTATTCGATATTTGATGTGCAACCTTGATCACTATTTTTCTATTAGAATATAACGATAAAACCTAATAAAATTGTAACATTATAAAAGTATTTATAAAAAAATCTAGATCTTTATATTTTCAAACTAAATATCTTAAGAGCTACTCATGGTCAAAATTTCAAATATCTGAACCGAATAAAGTCAACCGCGTCACATATTTAAATATGGATGAAGTATTATATTTCAGTACACACACAAAATCCTTCCATTAGTTTAGTGATATGGGATCGCAACCTGTAAATGAGCAGAACAAAATGGCACGCTCAGCTTAGGTAAGAAGTTCCACTCACAAGTCAAACTCTGAGCTCTCACGAAACATACAGCTCCTTGATCTCCAGAACAACAAACCAAAAAAAAGAAAAAGGAAAACAATGACTCACTCTACCCCGAAACTGTCGGTGCAAATAATCGCCACGCTTTTCACAACGCATTAGCAGTAACAGCAACAGCAAAACGTAATTAAACCACCACCAATTGCAAGCTTGCACTGACCCGAGTAATAATTTAAGGTCCTGAGTTTAAATTTTTATAAGAGCAGTTGTTTGCGAGGCTAAATTACTAATTCAAATAGGTGTATATATTCGGTTGGATGTCGAGTCCTGTTAAAAAAAATACCCTTCTCTCTCTACAAAAAAAGCTAGAAGCTTAATCACTAGACGGAGACCAAGAGAAAAAAAGAGAGGAAAAAATGAAAAAAAAAAGTGAACAAGAAAGAAAGGGAGAAAAACGAAAACGAAAGTACGGGCGGATGTGCCGTGCGTGCGCGTCTTGGCAGCGGTTGATGAGGAGTAGCTGTCGGAGAGGCGAGGGCTCTGAAAGCTTCAACGCCTTGATTGTTTAGTCCCACCTGCTCTGCTCCTTCTCTCTCCGTACGTTGGTTTCTTTCTTCTTCCATTGCATCTCCTTCCATGGACGTCGGAGACGACGAATCTCACTCAGTGCGTCGTCGGAGTGGAACCGTTCAATTCAAAGATCGGTGGGTGGGGATTGGAAGGATCGGATCGGGAGCAGTGACGCCAAGTCGCGCCCAGTGGCGATGGCCAGAACGTCAATTGGGAACGCGAGAGTCAATGGCTTGAGCTGAGTTCAAACCAATTGGGTCAGAACGTTGCTCTATAGCAAGATTTTTCATTAATATTAATATATAATTAATTAAGTATTAGTTAATAAAAGTTCGAAAAATATACTAATATAGTTTTTTTAAAAAAACTTTCATATATAATTTTTTAAAAATACGCGTGTGAGAAAAGCGAGAGATGACTTACGAGAAATAACAATGTTCATCTAGTTGGGGTTTCTGAAATAATTTATATATTCAATAAAGAAATGAAATATAAATAGAACAACATCATGCTATATAATTACACTGAATGCATGTTTACAAACACCCTTTTCATCTAGTCTAGAAAATGAATTATGCAATCCATTGCTATGGAATAAAAACCTCACCAAACACCCCGCATCATTATGTTTTGATCTTTAAGCTTTTGTATGGCTATTTAGAATGGCAATTCCACCTTTATATTCAATACATTTGCTATAGCACCAGGTTTCTATTACGTTAGATGCTATTGCCACATTCAA